TACCTAACCATATCAGTGTCAGGTGTTCATGTATGTTCTGATCAGTGGCTCTTTGTCTCTAAGCAAGCAACCATGGAGGTAACTGCCAAGCTTCTGTTATGAATCATTCTGATTATTAAAAAGTTGCTGATCGTCTTTAAAATATGTAGGACTATTATTAGTGTAAAATATAAATATTTCAGGTAATTTTATAATTTAATGCTAATTATTTGAAAAAAGTTATGAAGTTGATTTTATTCTTTGAATTTGTTTTATAATTAAGTTAAATATTAGATTATGTTTAATAATGCATCCTACTTGCAGATTTAATTTATTCTTACAAATTAAAAATTATTACAAAAGTGAAATTCAGGTGTAGATGATTACTCTAGTTTTATTTAGTTCTTATTTGTTGATCAGCCCTTTACTTTTTTCATCCATGATCCTTAAAAGTACTTAATTTCTGTGTGCAGAACTGCGTACAAGTCCTAAAGCTCATATGATCTCAAACACCATACTGTTACTGCAGTGAAGACAAAGATCTTTCTACTTTTGCAGTTTACTGTCTAACCATGTATATCCTTTTTTGTATAAAAGTAATGTAGTTAATTTCTGGAATAATGCCATATGCATAATTGTGTTTATAAAATTTAAACAGTTCTGTTTCTTGTTAATTTAATCTTAAAAGCAATAAGCAGATTTCATATCTGTGTGGGAGTATACATTTTTTATATTAAAACATAGTATGTGGTATTTGAAGTATTTCTTGTGAAGGAATTTTAAAAAGCATGTGTGCACCTTTTGAAAAAAGGATTAGTTAGGACTGCAGGAATTAGTGAAATCAGATGATTTTAAAGAATGTGAAAGATTATGAAAATTCTTTAATGATTAAGACTTTTTTAAGATAATTAAGTATGTGATTAAGAAAGCTGCAAGCAGGTGAGTTTGTAAAATTCTTTCATTTTCCCTTATCTTTAATTTGGAATTCCAATGTATTCTGAGTGTAATTAATATAAAAACAAAACTGACAATGGGCATTGTGCAAGAAATTGAAATCTAGAATGGGATGTCTAGGTAGGATTATCATAAATCCTCACTTTTTTCTGGCATTTTCCAATTTTTAAGATTTAAATTAGTGTTCAGGAGGAATTCCCAGATCAGTGCACAAATAGGGAAACTTAAGATGCAGTTTTTTTTAATGCTTTAAATAGGTAACTTTTAAATAGGATGTAGGTATTAAATTTTAGTATTTGTCTCTTCCTGTCTTCATCCTCTCTTGATGAAGGTATTAAGCTTTAATACCTACATCAAGAGAGACAGGATGAAGGTTTGAAAAAGGTGAATAATCATTTTAAAAATGCCTTCAAATGTTTTTTCAGTGGTTGCTTAGAATATCTGGATATTTGGATTACACCCAGGTTTCTTGCTTTGTGTAAGTGAAACTTGACAGCTTTTTCTTGAAAACATGACAGAATAATAATGAACATCTTGATGCACTTTGTATTATCAGTGAAATATTTATGATAAATTAATGCGGAAGGAGCACCTTTATTTGAATTACAGTGGTACTTTTACTCTTTTGATAATATTTGAAAGCAGAAGGATTAGCAATGGACCGCACACTTGGCACAACACCAATGCTGTAATGGCTGATAAAATATATCATAGTGGAATATGTGCAAAAAACATAGGAAAACTTGAAGAACATATATAAACTATTTTTGTAAATAAAGGTAAATGGAAAACAGTTAATTTTTCAGCAAAATTATTAATTAGCATCTTGTTAATCAAAGCATTATACTTTCATTTCCAAATTAGCTAGTGAATTACTTAGCTCTTAAGTGATCGATTTAATCAGGATGTTTCAGAAAGTCTTTTCAGAAAAATTTTCAGCATTTGGTCACATTTATGGTCATTCAACTACTGCAGAATTTACCAAGAAGATAAAATTATATATAATTAGAAAATTGTGAGAATTCCCTGATTATGAATTCTTTTGCACATGAATATTTTCATATTCATAGATTTTGAAGATAATTACTATTATTTCTCTGGAAAAAGAAGAGAGAATGTAAAATTCAGAGTTAGTGGTAAAATTATGCATGGTTACATAGTACAGTACTCTATCAAGCACTACCCTCAGCAGTCGTGTAGATGTACATTGATTATTCCTCTTGAAGAAGGAGAGAATGTAAAAATTGAAAATTAATTGTAAAATTATGCATAGTTCCACAGTACAGTATCCTATCAAGCATAAACCAGAGCATCCGTGTGGATGAGCATGAATAGTTTTACCCTGGTTCATATCCAAGCAAATGGGCTGTGTGCATATGTGTTTTCTCACTTTTCCACATGTGTGGCATGAATACAATTTTCTCTTAGAAAATCATCAAAAGAGGCATCCCTACTCTTTGGCAGATAGCCTTCATTTGCTTTGTCTCAATCAGCCTAACCTATAAAGTACTAAAATGCTGCATTGTGTGGCTTGATTCATCACACGTGTTTTGAAAGATGGTTACCCTTTTCTTATTTGTCTTTGTCCACCAAAAACAAAGCATTAGCCTACTGGATAACAATAATAAGTGAAGGAGCCCTTGTGTTCCACAAAACAGTGGGAGGAAATCATTTGGGAATTATGCTGAACAGTTCCAATGAGCATTGCATCTATTTCTGTACACAAGAACCATAATAAGGATAAAAAATATTAGTATTTTAGAATATAGTTCTTGTCTTCAAGAGACCCCACCTGCGGCCAAGTGATAAATTGCTGAACACTGGTAGTTCCGACCATGGGTTCAATTCCAGGTAAATGAGTTGGCTGCATGGGCATTTTTATGATTTTTCCCATGTTTCCTTTCCAGTTTCCTTTTGAAAGTCCACTGACCCACCAGCAGCTGAGCGGCAAAGTTGCTGAACACTGCTAGTTCGGTTCGAGGTATGAATCCTACGAACAGGCTGGCTGCATGGGCGTTTTCATGGTTTTCCCCATGTGTAACATGTATATGTGCCAATTTCCCTTAGAAAGTCCTCCACGAAGGCATCCCTTCCCTTAGGCAGATAGCTCTAGTGTGCTTTGCCAAATTTCAATAAACCAAAATAAACCAAATCTTTTGAAAGTCCTTCACAAAGGCATCCATTTCCTTGTATTTGCTGATAGCCCTGATATGCTTTGCTGTAATTAATGAAACTAATCTTGTCTTCAAAAAACAAAGAATGATAAAAATGATAGCATAAGATTATTCCAATTTGGGTGATATGTTTGAATTTTTTCTAATTACTGAATTGAAGGTTAGCCTGGCTGAAGCAGGGTATAATGAATACATATAAAGATATAATATACGTATAAAGATTTTAAGATATTATCAGCCCTTTTTTTGTTTCAAATACTTCTAAAAACTCATGCTACTGTGATTTAGATGAGTAATTGCTGGGGAGCTGACTATGAGTCAAATGGTGCCACATGTCTTTATGCCAGCCTTGAGATAAATTTCTTTTTGGGAAGAGCAAACATTCTAGTATATTGCCTTGGCTTAGTGTTGCAATAAAGGCTCAAATTTACCTCATCTCTCAGCCATCTTGTGCAAGTAACCATTTGGCAGTATCATCTCATCACGTCTAGACTTTTTAAGCATATACTGAAGATATGTGTACTGTATTTTACTTTAATAATGCATGTTTAACTGTGCTGGAATTTGCTTTTAGACCATTCCTATCAATTTAGCTGTGGACTAGAATCTTATTCTGTTTGGGAGCATAAACTAACAAGCTCTAAAAGTATTTATGAGGAATTATCCTCAGGTCTTTACAACAAAAGAAAATCAGAAGGCTGTAGAGAACCCTTTATTCACTCAATATAATTTAACTGGTGGCCCCACTTGGGCTTACACAAAGCTAACACTTCTGGCATAACTCAAAGCAGGTAATAATGAACATAAAATATAATTTTGTAAATTTAGCCTAAGAGCTCACAGGATAATTTAACATGCAAGAAGGCTCTGACTCATACAAGGCCAGGGAAATAAGCTTAATGGCTAGAAGCACTCTACATCACAGCAGTCTAATTGCTAGTAATTCAAATGGCAACATTGTTTTCAAGTAGGCATAATGTGCTCTAAAATCACCTTCACAAACCATTCCTTAAATAACACATCTTTCTACCTCATTTGAATACATGTGCACTAACTTATTAACATTCTGGCAAGACAGAGTGGGCGAAAGTGAGACAAAGGGAAGTTGCTTTTACTAAAAGTTCACTGTTAGTAAAATTAAATACATGGGGTGATCAAATGAAAAGGTATGAAATGACGCAAAAACATAACAGATAAATATTTGCATATTCCGCCATGGGAGAACGTAGCGAGACATCTCGGAATACGATTGGAGTCTCTGACTGGGATCCGAGAATGCGCGGGCGCCCGCATGTGCAGGAGAGAGCAGAGGCTCTTATCAAAAGTGGGGGCCAAATGATCCAAATGATGTGGCAGTGCGTATGAGGACAGGATGGCATTCGCGTTGCAAAATTCGACGACTGAGGAGCAGCAAGGTGTTATCCGATTTCTGACAGCTCAAGGTCAGAAACTGGCAGCTATTCATCACCGGATGGTGAGAATTTACGGTGAGAAATGTGTCTGACAAGTCTGTCAGAAAATGGAATGCCGTTTTCGTGCAGGCCGTGAAAGTGTGGGTGATGACCCGAGACCAGGCCAAGCAAACACTGTCATCACATGTCGCCCTGCGATTTCCATGTGTTTGGTCCACTGAAGAAATACCTGAAAGGGAAGCACTTCACTTGGACGACGCACTCAAGGACGCTGTGAAGGACTGGGTCTCATCACGGGCACAGGAATTCTGGGAACAAGGAATCCTGTGGCTTGTTCATGAGTGGGATCGTTGTGCTCAAGCCTATGGTGTATATTTTGAATAAAGTCTACATTTGTACCCACCGTGTCGTTTCGTACCTTTTCATTTGATCACCCCTTGTAAATATCTACAAATAAAATAGTTTTTTTTTTCTTTTACAGCACAATAGATAATAGCTTGATGAGCAACATACAGAAGCTGTTTTCAGAGAAAATTGAAATTTTTAGCACAGTTGAATTTTCTAAAGTGTCTGTCATGACTGGAATAATCAAAATCAGTTTAAAGGTAAATTTTCTGTGATTTTATTTTTTAAATTAGCTGATTTAATGATACAAGTCAGTTAATATATTTTTTTGCTTTTTAATTATGTATGAAATTCAGTTTTGAGTTGTTGATTTTTTTTAAATATTATTTATTTATTTATTTATTTTTTGTGTTAAGCCTCAAGTCTTTTTGCAGATACATGAAGGAAAATATTAAATGAAATAATCGAATTTTGTTTGTTATTTTATTGTTGTGAACTTATGCAGCAAGGGGTGTGTATGGCTTTGGATGCAACAGTTTCACCCAGTCTTTGCATAATTATAGAGAACCTTAAAGTAAATCAGTTTGTGAAGTGACAGCTTTACAGCACCCATAAAAAATACGCTAGAAAATCAGAGCTAGATATCTTGCTGTTTCCCTTATTCTTTTTTTTGTATAATTTTCAGTGGTTTTCATATATTTTTCAGTATTTTTCAGTGCAGTAAAGTAACCAGGAATCAGGATTTATAATCCTGGCATTAATGTTTTCTTAATTCTTATTTTTTACTTTAAAAATAAATGTATCAGTGTCTTCATTATTAATCATGGCTGCATGGCTTTTGAGTTTTTCTTGACATCTCCTGGTCTTCCCAATAGATCACTAAATCTAGTTTTTAAATTTTAACCTTTACTAAGAAAAATAAATGTTTCCAAATAATAAATGAAATTTATTGAATTAATGAAGTAATTGTGGAAGTTCCATTCTTCCACTCCTGCAAGTTCTATTCGTAGTGGTAGTCAGTATAAATTTTCTTATTAAATTTCATTTGATTTGAATTCTATTTTTTCTTATTATATTTTATTCATTTTATTACATTTTTCGTATTAATTTTCATGTGCTGAATCTAATGTAGACATTTGTAGAACTTTTTATTAACATGTATTTAATCAATTAGTATTCGTATTTTATACTGTTTTACCTCATTATATTGTTATATTTTTTGTTTTCTATCTTATGAGTTTATCCACATAGTAGTATGTACATTAATTTTAATATTATTTTTATCATATTTAAAAGCACTTTGATAAATGAAAGCTTTTTTCCTACTGAGGATTTTCTCAGTATAAAAAGCGTTAGAGAGTTATAAAATTAAAAATAGCTATGGTTTATAAAGTTTTGAATATCTAACTAATTACAGTCAAATACCAAAAATCCACCAACTCCTGAAATCCGCGTTACCTCTCAAAATATAAACATTCAGTTTATAGGTTCCGGAAACCGCCACATTGAGTATGAAATATCGAAGAAAAAATACTTACCGAATAATGACGTCATAATAATGAGTCATAACGGAAATACCAAATTCTTGACATCACGATAAATGTTTCTTCCCTGCTAATCTGCATCAAGGTAAGAAAGCAGACGATTCACTCAACTCTTCTTTCAAGTTCACGATTCACGTTGTTGTATTTTCTGAGCTCTGTTATTTCATGAGATTATTTAGTGCTGCTTTTTTTTTATCTGGATATTTTGTGGATAAATTAAGAATATTTTAAATTTCAGCCTTTTTAATGCAATTACAGATAAGTAACGCACTCACGATTTTACTGCTTGCAACGTTGAAAAATGTAAACATGTTGCATTGACAGTAATGCAAAAAGTGCAAATTCTGCAAAACATGGAGACGGGTTGGTTTTTAGCAGAATCGTATCGAATTACGATACGATTGTGTATGATATACGAAAAAATAAAGAAAAGCTGTTGAAATTTTACAGCAAGTGATTCTAACACCGGAAGTCTTTGCATGAGGTGAAATTGGCAAACCTCAATACTTTGTATATATAATACAATGAATAATATAATCAATTTATATATGTAATAATAATTTAATGCATATTATAAGTTATTGCAATAATGTATATAATAATTTAATTAAATGTATCTAATATGCCTTATTTATTTTGCACTTTTAGTCTGAATATTATGATTTATCTTTTCTGTCCTGAAGTCCGCAAAATCCTAAAATCCGCACAAACTCTGGTCGCAAACTTTGCGGATTTCTGGACTTGTACTGTATTAATATTGTAGGGTCGTTAGGTTAATTTCAAGCAGGAGATGCAAAAAATGAGCAATGCTCTCACTGGGACTCAAACCTAGACCTCTTGAATATGCACCGAGTGTGCTACAGTTACAACATAAAGAATGCAGAAGGGAGGGAGAAAATACCTTATAAAATACCCTTTTTAAAGGCTGACTGGGGATTAGGGCACCCAGTCACCAAATCCTGGTGGTGAAGAATCATCATCCACCACCTTTGGTTCTGGCGCATGTGTAGATTCATTAGTATTTTTTGAAGCAAAAGACACTGAAAAATGAGCAATGCCCTTTTGGGACTCGAACATGGACCTCTTGAATGTGCACTAAGTGTGCTACCCATTACGCCATGAAGGCATGATGAAAGGAGGGAGAAAACATACTCCCCATTTTAAAGGGCAACTGCCTTTGCCTGGATTCAAACCTGGACCTCTTGAAAATGCACGGAGTGTGCTACCGTTATAACACAAAGCCATGCAGAAAGGTGGGAGAAAATACCTTATAATATTTTTACACTTGAATGACATTGTAAATGGGTCAATGAGCTGAATTATAAAGTCTATTTAACCTCTTTATCGTCCATAACGTGTCTAGCGCGTTCAAGTGAAACTTCTGCACGGCGGCCGTAATGTGCTTCAAGCGTTCTTCTACATTTTAAAACTTTTAAACGTTTAAAACTCTTTCTAAATGTTTACTTGTTTGAGTTTTTTTTGTTTGTTTTTTTTTTTTTGTTTTAATACCAGCTAGAGGGTAGTACTAATCAGGCATTCTGTCTCTAATTGAATTTCCCCCAGGTTTTATGAATATTCATGCCAGTCTATACATAAGATACACGACAGTGAGAGATCTTCAATGTCTATTCAGCAGAAAAAGAGAAAAAATGAGGTTGTGAATTGGAAAGACAAGAAGGATATACGTTTGATGAGTACAGTGCATAAGAACTCTGTGTTGGATGTTGAAGCACGGAAAAGAACTTTAAAAAAACCCAATAAATTAAAAAGATTATAACAAAATGGGAGGAGGGGACCGCCTGGATTAGATGTTATCAAATTAATCCTGCTGTTAGAAATGAGCCGAGATGTTATTACTTTTCCATTATGCTTTATTTCCTTATAATTTTACTTAATATTCATTTACATTCATCCACTACAAAAGTTATCTATGTACAGAGAAAACAACATTACACACTGCGAAAAACAAAGGGCCGCTAGGGAGAAATTTTTGCAGACAGGAAAGGATGGCAAAAGGGTTAAGTCAATTTAGAGTTTTTCAGAAATGGCGTCACAGTATAGTGTGAAAAACCTATCATTTTTTCATATTGTATAATTAACATAGATAGCTGTGAACAAATGCATTAAAGTAGGCTAGTTATTTCACCCTCTGTACTACTGTTTAGCATTTTGAGTAGAAGGAATAAATTCATGTTATATTCTTATCTCTAAAGTATCTTTATAAATGAGGAATTACATTTGTGCAAATAACCTGAACTTAAATTAAGATATCTGTTGTAATGCATGGGGTTGCATGGATTATAATGGAAGAGAAAATTTTGAAATTTACTTGTATTAGTTTCTGGATTTCTTCAGCATCAGTTCAACCAGACTATGCATTAATTTACTTAATAGTATTTATATGACTGTATTTAATACTGTGGGTGATTTTGATAAGTATAAATGCCTTCTTAAGAGCAGTTATCTAATAGAACAAATAGTGTGCTCTTTTATGCAAGTGAAAGCCTGAATCAGGGAAGACAAATACAGTCTGAATACAAATAAGTCCAGATTGAGACTTCAGCAATTCTGAATTACCTTAGAGCTATAAAAAGAAGTCAATTGTTAATGCTGTATTTGATAGAAAGAGAGATGAGATTGTTAGATTGTAGGGTTAAGTCTGGCGTTGATATAATATTGAGCTTAAGGGAGAATAAACATAAGCAAATAGAATAAGAGCCTGTTAGTCCAATTCATTAGAATTATTAAGATTGAAAGGGTTGATGCAAGTTTAGAAAATAATATATTTTCAATGATTGTGTCTTTTGAAAAGAATCCTGATGTAAATGAAATTCCTATTAAGGTTAAATTGAAAATTCCTGGAATGCAAGATATTAAGGGAATATTAAACATAGTTCTTTCTCTATGCCTTATATCTTGATAGGATGATGAGTGGATAATAATTCCTGTGCAGAGGAATATTGTTGATTTGAATAAACCTTCAGAAATTAAAGTAAAATAGTTGATATTAATAGTAATATTGAAATGGCAAAAAGTATTATTGCAATTTCTCTAAAGGTTGAAAGGGAAATAATATTTTTTTATATCTTGTTCTCAGTTTGCAGAGAGGCCTGCAATTTAAGAATTGTAATGGAAGAGATGGATGTAATAATAATAAGTTATAGGGTAGGAGGATTATTAAGAATTCATATTAATAAGTAAATTCCTGCAGTTACTATGGTTGATGAGTGAACTAGTGCTGAGATTGGTATGGGTGCTGCTATAGCTTCTGCAAGCCAGCCTGAGAATGGGAATTGAGCTCTTTTTGTGAACATGCTGCAATAATTACAAAGATTAAATTAATTAGAAAATATTCATTATTAAGTTAGAAATTTCATTCTAAAGATGATATTATTAGACCTATAGGCATAAGGATTATAATGTCTCCAATTCGATTGGAAAGAATGTTGATTGAGTCTGATGCAGCTCTGGAGTAATTTTGATAGTATACTAGAATATAGGATGAAAATCCTAAACCATCTTAGCATAGCGGAATGAAAATTAGATTATCTCTTGTGATTACAAGTGTTATGGAAAATATAAAGAGTAGGAGGAGAAGGGAGAAACGGTGAAATTATTTTTTTTTTTTTTTTTTTTTTTTTTATGGATATAAGATAATCTAAAGGTTAGGATCAGTCTAGAGATTAATCTAGCTGTGGCTAAGAATAGAATAATCAAATAGAAGGTTAATGGGAAAAAAAGAATGTGAGAATATAATTTAATGGAAAGTTTAGAAAATTTAAACATCGAATTAATTAATATATAGAGGAAAAGTGGAAGGAAAATTAAAGTAATGGAGTTAAGAAAAATTGGGATAAAGAGGATCTGAGGAAATCTGAGCGTTTTTTCAAGCTATTGTAGCTTGTAATGGTGCTGATCAAATGGAAAGCTTTTAGAATTGCAAGTTGTTGAATTAAAAATATATTTTTTATGAACCTATAACATAAGGAAAATAAAATTATCTTTGGAGAATTATGTGAAATATTTACAAAGACATTTGACAGACAGGTTAACATAACTTAATGTTAAAAATTGAAACTTAAAAATGCTTGTTTCTTGTACTGTCTGGTGTTGCTGTAGAAATACATTTAAATTCATGGCTATAAAAAGCTACAAAAATATTAAAATGAATGTGGGTACAAGGGCACTTGTTTATGTGTATATGTATGCTTAGATGTATAATGTATTGAAAAATATCCAGTTTAGTTTGCTATGTATTTATGTTTATAAAGTTTTAATTAACTAAACTCTCAGTTAACTCCATCTTTTCTCAAATAATTGTCTTAGACATTTCTTGAATGTGTGCGCCTTAGAACATTTAGTAAGTTTGGTCTCCAGCAAGTTCAAGTTGACATCCACTATTTACAGTTGTATTTATGGCACTTTGTAGCTGATGAAAAGTAAGAATTCTTAGACCTATTTTAAAAATTAATAAATTTTAAATAAAATAAAAATAATTTTAATTACTTAAATAAAATAATTAAAAAAATTTAAATAGAGAATGGAGGCTGAACTCCATTATTTAATTTTTAATCTAAATCAAAAGCTGGTTATTTTAAATATATTATTTTAATATGCTCTAAAATGATATCATATATGTGATATTAATAATTAATTATTGTTAATTAAGTTCAGTTCTGTATAAGAATATTTTATAAAGCTCGGTTGCTAAATTAAGTCTTGTCTGGTAAATTCTATACTTCTGAAATTATGACAGAGGCTTTAATTTGTCATAAAAATAACCTAATTTGTAATAACTGATCAAATTGGGTTTCTTTGATGTTAATTTTAAATGTAAAGGCTTAATGAACTTTGAAAGAAAATGGCCTCTTTTTCTGCTTTGCTGTTTGAGCATTTTAGAATAATTTGCTTTGGGGACAATAAGACTGAGTTGTTTATCTCTTGAAATGCATACATATTCATTTCAGATTATTTCTAAATAATGATAAGATTTTCTCCAGTATTAGTATTTAAATTAGCATGTATTTCTTGAGAATATTGTATGCAAGAATTATAGCCTAAACTTTATTGAACTACTTTAAACCATTGGCTTTATATGTTGTTACAAAACCTTGCATATTAATTAGGCCATAAGAGAGCTTAAATTTCCGATTAGAAGAGAATTGATGGGATAGTGACTTTCTGCTTGATCTGGATAAAGTATATTTTAGAAGTTTTATGTGAGCTAAACACTAAAAGTTTGATGCAATATATATTTAGCTTATTGCTGTGCAAAGATCTGATGTAATTTCAGTGATTTCTCATAAATATTTTAATCTCTTGAGGTCATTATTGTGTCCATGATTACAGGAGGTGTACCAGCAAATATGAAAAATCTGATCCAGTTGAAAGAGTAGTAATACTTTGTCCTTTAAAAGTTGCAATTGGAAAACAGTGCAACTTTAAATATCCTTAAAATTACATGAAAGTTATATGCAGCTTTGAAATGTGCTTGAGTTTTACTCCTTGTCTTAATTCTAAAAAGTTACCTCAATCAAATAATATTTGTTAGATTTTGAAATTATATACACTTCGATTAGAATTCTAAATGAACTTTCTAGTCACTTTCTCTGTAAACTTTAATAACTTTCTGAATACAATACTTAGTTGAATAACTTGCTATCAGGTAGTTATTTTTCATCAAATTTTTCTTTTAGAAATTAAGCACTCCTTTGTGCATATTCTACAATATTTTCAAAAGATAATTCATTTTAAATTCTTCAGATGCTTAAATTTACCATTTTTAAAGTATACAGTTGGAATAGAAAACCAGAAATATTTTACTGAATATATTTTTAATTCCACAAAAATATTCATGATTGTGAATAAAAATACTCATATCAACTTGATTTACAATATCAAAAAACATTTACAAAAATTGGGAAATTTTCCATAATTTATCCTGTAGGAGGACACTGTTTAAATGCAGCACTAAAGTTTGGTCAGTTTTATTTTACTTAATAATGGAAAATATTGTCCAGTCAGTGTACTTAAGTATTGTGTAACATAGATAGGATGTTTAAAAAAGATGAAATTTTGAAGTGGAGATACAGAAAGGTAATAAAAGGAATTTTCAATCATGGTAATACAGTACCATCACAGTAATAAGTGCAGAGGATGTTACATGCATACTCATGAGAGGTAGATATGTCCAAGTGTAGAAGATGATTATTATTTCTGAGTAGTATATTTCTGAATAGTAGTAGATGACTACTGTTTCTGTATGAAAATTCTAGTTTTGAGAAAATATCCTATATAACTGTATTTAATGTTTCCATAGAAATTTGGTCTATTGCATTATAGAATTTTTGTTTCATTTCTTAGCTGTAGCAGATTAACAGTGGTATGCATTGTGCTAAAGGCATTTCATTACAAAAAATTAGAAACAATGAAGTCAGGGTTTTGATTACATGATATGTCACTAGATTGAGAAATTACTGGTAGCCAAAAAACTTTTGTGGATCTGTCATGAATTTGTGTGTTGGGAGCATCTACTAGATGCCAGAAATAAGTATATTATAATTGCTATGAAAGGTTATTGGTAATATGATAATAACTGTTATTAAATTATATAATAATTGCTACCAGAAAAGGCATATAATAATTGTTAGGGAAGTCAAACACTTATGAGATGCACCCTTCTGGTTAAATGGGCTTTAGCATATTCGTTTCTACTGTAATGCACCTGTTGGCTGCTACTTGCTCCAAGATTCTTTTTAAATGGTTATTTATGAAAATTTGTTTATTTTACTTTTAATAATAAAATGATCAAATGAGTGTATCACATACACTTACACATTTTTTTGGTATAAAATATGAGTATTTATTTCAATTCTTTCAAGATGTGTTAGCTTTCAAAGTAATGCAGATTTTGATGTATGCACGTTTTTCACAGGCAGTCGGTTGCACATCAGATTCTGTGAGAATTACAGACTATGCCCTTCTGTTCAAAAATTTGTGTTTACTCATCTTTCTAAGGACATCAAAGTCACAATAAGACTGCTTGGACCATGCTAACATCTAACTGAATATTTGTCAAAATATTTTCATTGGTTTACATTTTATGCTGGTTTCTAAGAGAATTACATTGACTAGGACATGTGGATGAATTTTTTTAATGACAATATGAAATTATATGAAAATGCATAATGCAGAGAATTAAGTATCTTGTCGCTATTAGGGCTCAGTGAACATTGCTGTTGGTTAAGATTTTTCTTCCACAGCATTGAATGAATTTATTAATTTATTAATTCTAAATATATGTGCAAGTTAATGAGAATGTTAAGAATCTTGTTAAAAATATATACTTATCTTATATCTACAATGGTGTTTTGAAGTCATACATGTATTCAACTTTCATTTGTTTTATTAAAATCATATTAATTTTTATAATTTAATTCATTATTTTTCTGTTAGTTATTTATGAACATTTTAAGCTCTCTGAATTTTACTTAATCATTATCATATATTCCATTTATTTAGTTTGTTCATTGGTCCAGATCGCCTGGCCTGCTTTAAGTTGCCAGCAGTTAATTTTTAGTAATTAAACCTTGTTTTTGTGAACTTGTAGCTCATTCTGTATATGCACGTATTTGTCTTTAAACAGAATTGTATCTAAATTCTATATTTGTCTCTCTATTTAAATTTTAGTCTCTGTATTTATTCAATCAGAGTTTAGAATCTCAACATAACATATGATTTTATTTCAGTTTAGTCCATGTCCTTCTGGATGAAATAATGAGTAGCACAATAAATCGCTGCTTAGATCCAGTTTTAATGGAGCCAAGTGTAAGTAATTAGCACTTTCCTTAATTAGACTAGACAAGCAGTAAAAATTTAAATGCAAAATTATAGGTCTGATATGTTTTTTTTTTTTTTTCGTTTGTGTAATTTAATGTGTAAATTAAAAATCATTTTGAAAACTTTTCAATCACTACATCGTGAGGTGTAAACATGTTTTAAACTGTGTATTTAAAATGAAAGGGCAGTGGTGTAGAATACTTGCAGTTGTATTTGATGACAAGCATGTTTCAAAATTAGAATTCTTAGAATTAGTGGGAACTGAATTTATGTCATTTGAAATACTGTATGGAATTACCTTTAGATAAATAATGAAAACCATACTACTTACTTATTCAGTACAACAGACATACAGAGATGTCCTTTGTATCATGCATCTTTTATCTCTGTTGTTAACTTATCATTTGATTGATTTTGCAAAATGCTGTTATCCTCATGTGTTTTTAGTGATGGTATGTACATTCAGTGCTTTACAGACTATATTTTTTGCATGGGAAAGGTCGTTATTAAAAACCTGCATTTTAACCAATACCTCATGTATGTATATATATAGGCTTGTTTATGAATAACAGTGGGGCATTGGAAATGTGTGTATTTTCTGAGCATTTCCTTATTGTGTTTCTTAATGCTCCAAAAGATGCTAAAATGAAGCTATTTGTACCATATCACATGGAGTGTTACAGAGAAACATTATACATGGCACAGCTTACATGATAGTGTAGACCAATAGATAAAATGAGCATGGGTTCTTTCTTCCTAGCATGTCTGATATATGGTGTAGATGATTGAGAGCATTGTCACCATAATTCAGAATCTGTCCATGGTAAATTATTGAGTATTAATTTAGCTCCTAATAGTGAAAGGATGTCGATCAACTATCATTATCAAGGAGTGCAGGTAGTATAGGGTGACAAGTATTTTTCATAGGCAAGTGATGGGTATGGTATGAAAGTATCATGAAAGATGTGAGGAAATAAAAGATCTTTCCCATCTGGACCAGGTACAAGTTGTGACAGACAGAATCACCTCTTAGATTGAACCAGCAATATAAGAGATTCGCATTGGAGCTCATGCAAGCTAATGGTTAACTTTGTTATCATTTGGGAGAGCTTAACCATTTGACTGTTTCATTTTTTTCCATTGTCAGTCCAAAAAGAGTCATATTTTTTATTGCATTTTTTTGTTCATTTTACATGTGTAAGTAGAAAGATATTAAAATTAACATTTGTAATATTTTGAAGCCTTTAGAACAATTTTTTACTGCAAATAAAATACCTTCTCTGAAAGTTCTCTTTTTCCTGAATGTGTGCCTAACAGGGAAGTTATGTTTACGGTGGTATACATAAAAAAGTACAATTGCTTTACAATTATGTTCAATTACAATTAATATAATTACATTTAATTAACCTTTTTCCCCCCAAAATGATGATTTAATGATTCTGATTTAATGTGCAATACCTTAAAACAATGCGAGAGGCACAGTCCAGATAAAAATAACAAATACCAAGAAATGCCGAGTCTCTTCACTAATTTCTTTTTTTGTTTCCGTTTTACTTCGGAAAACACTCATCGTACCATCTTATGGGTTTTAATTTTTTCTGTGAGTGAAATCTTCTCTAAAAAGTCTTTCTGTGCTAGTCTTAATGGAGCTATTAGGCATCCAGGGAGACCTTTGTTCAACCTTTTACTGTTACATTCCTTTCAGTCAGTCAAACAATAATATTCAATCAAAACTGTAAATTTGTATCTTTACTGTCATTTTTTTATACTAGTATCGAATCCATGGAGAGAACTTTCACTCCTCCCAGACTCATTTTCAGATATTTCAAATCCTGACACCGAATCACAAGAAATAAGCTGTGGGCATTCTAAATTAGCCATTATTTTATGGTAAAAAACAGTTTTTAAGTGCTTGTTCATGAATAAAGTTATCAAATGAACTGTAAAATATTGGTGAAAAATAAAAATTTACCGAATCCTGCCAGTTACATGAAACATGCGCCTGCTTTTGAACCACTTAAAATACAATGAAATAGACATTGCTAACTACCACTTAGTGAACATGTACCATATATATGACTATTTTCATATTAAAAATAGAAAAGATTTGGACAGAACAGTAAAAGCAACTCAGGAATGAGATTGCCCATACAGTATATGGGCAAATCAGTAAAGGCCGAAAGCAGCACCCATACGGTGCACGGACAAAACTGTCAGGTGGTTAAATAGCAAAAACTAAGAAATTGAAGTGAAATATCAGAAGGGGTATTCATGATGAGCTCCACAGATGCTGATGGATCACCATAAAGAAGAGTGTGAGGGTTTTAAGTATTAAACATGTGTTGCATTATAAAGCAAAGGGTGGTGTTCTGCACATAATCTCGGGTGATCAAACATGGTGTACCCATTTTCAGCTGTAGCTGAGAGGCTGAGAGTGCAATAGCATTCTTGTTCATGAAAACTTAGAAGTCACAAGCTCACCAGTAAGTTTGTGTTGAATATATTTTTGACCATGAAGGACTTCTTGTTGGTTTCTTTCAGAGCTTAACTTGAACATCAGTGCTGATTGCTTTGAGGGCATTGAAAAAGATACATAAAGCTATCAGGAATAAGTGATCCTGCATGCTTTCAGATAATATGGTGTTGCCGGCAGTACTTGTGTGCATATTTTGAACAGTAGGAAGAGTGTTTTTGCATACAAAGAGTGGATCATCTAGCCAACAGTTTGTTTGGACCCTTAGCTTAAAGATCTAAAGATATGAGTTCAGTCAGCTGTAGATGGCTTATATTTACTGTCTCTTTAGTCATTGAAATGCAAGATTTTTTTAATGAATCTTGGTGCATCCTTCCTTCTTTGTCTGTTACTAAATTCTACTGCATCTGATATTCTACATTTTTTCCTCCATTTTATTAAAACGACTCTAATGGAATTCATTTAAATATACTTTGTGTTTTAAAGAATTTATCAGCATTTGAATCAATTAAAATTACTGCTGAAGCCTCTAGCTGTACAATTTTTATGTAACAAAGTTCAAATTGGCAACATCAATGTTAGAATTTAGTTACAATGGAATTTGAGCATCTGTGATATAATGAAAGCTAGAGACACATCAACATACTTAATTTATTTTGATATCCAAGTTAACATCTATGCATATCGTCGACAGCATTTTATTGTGGATCCAAATTCTTTGTTTTAGAATTTATTTCATTATAGACGGTATGTTTAATTGTCAGAATAGGTTTTCGGTTCTGATGTTTGTCAAAATAGCTTTTCAGTTCTAATAGTAATTCACAGATTTACTGTGTGCATATAAATTTTTTCATAGCTGATCGTTAAACACAGTTTTTGTGAGCTTGTCAGGTAGTATGATTCAGCCAATTAAATGAGATTAAATCAATAATCACTTGTGATTGTCACTTTATCAGTCTTGTTTAATTGATGTATCTGTAATAGTGTAGTATATAAAAAATTTCACATGCTGTCTTAAAAACTTAAAATACTGAAACTTGGTTGAAATATGTTTGTATTTGCAGTATGTTAAATAACTTGCCTCATTCTTGAGGCCCAAATATATTTGTACTAGATAGACTGCTTATCAGTAGCTAAGAAATAAAGAAGATGATTGCCTTGTTAAGAATTTCAAATTAGTATCTTTGATGAATAGCGTTTTCTAGTGACTTTCTTAATATCCTAATGATGATAGTTATTAATTAGAGACTTCAGTTTTTATTTTTTAATGTACTCATTACCTAATTGTACATTACTAATTTTAATTCATGTAATTAAAATGGAAGTGATATGTAATTATAAATTATGTTTAATATTTGCCTTTTTTTTTAATTTTAGGTTGTTGAAGTTATATGTGAAAGAGGATAAAGTACTCCTGTAGCTAGACAATTTATTTGATAACTTTCATTCCTGTACATTATGATATCTGTTTTATATAGCCTTTCAAGGTCTAGTGTTTTTTCCTTTCAGAATAAGTTATTTTTTGCAAAAAATTATTGTTGAATAGCAGTAAAGTTTTAATATCATTAAGATTTTTTCCCCTTTTTGATCAGTAACTTAGTTACTGCTGAAGAAATATTTTTATAAATGGCAGTTAACACTAATACAGCAAAGCATGAACTGTTTCTGAATAAAAATTGTCCTTAATTGGTTGTGAATGTTTTTCATACCCTTTTATTTCTGTCATTAATTTTTTAGACGATTAAGTTAACTGTGGCGACATCATTCGCGTTAATGAAGCGCCATTTGTGAAACATCTCGCATGCACTTTTCTTTTCGCCAGAATGGCAACATGAAGCAAGAGAGAAGCAAAAGAACAATGACTGATTTTTTGTCTGTGTGATTCTATATCTAAAAAATGTAAATAAATATAACAGCCTAAAATCCCACCTGCAAAAAACAAATTCTTGGACTGATATGCTACCTTTGATTCTTCTTGGCATTTGATCCGCCATTAAGGAGGATTTCCATTGTTCTTCTGCTGAACTTGTGTACGGTTCACCAATCTGTTTGCCTGGAGAATTTTTCAGTTATGTCCCCACTGTTACGCATTCAGATTTTATGCAAAAATTGCAAAGTCACATCCAAAACCTAAAACCAACACCAACAACCAGCCATGACAAAAAACCAGTTTTCGTGCACAAGGACATAGCAAATTGTTCACACGTATTCATCTATAATAACATAATTTCATCTTCTCTTCAACCACCCTATCTCGGACCATATTTAGTTAAAAAACGTTTTGAGAAATTTTTCGATGTGGAAGTTTCAGGTAAAATTAAAAGGATATCGATAGATAGACTGAAACCATGTTTCAGCCTCAAGAATGAAATAACAACAAATCTCCCGACACATGAAGCTGATAACTCCAAAATCTCACCTCCATTCTTGGAGACAATGATTATTCCCAAGATATTTATCCAGGAAACACAAAAGCTGGACAAAGGGTGAGATTTCCTGCATACCTGAAAGATTACAAGGTATAACGCTATAACCGGGAAGAGTGTGTGTGGCGACATCATTCGCGTTAATGAAGCGCCATCTGTGAAACTTCTCGCATGCACTTTTCTTTTCGCCAGAATGGCAACATGAAGCAAGAGAGAAGAAAAAGAACGATGACTGATTTTTTGTCTTTGTGATTCTATATCTAAAAAATGTATATAAATATTAATCTTATTGGAGTAAGAGCAATGTTTAACATTTCCTATGTTCAAGACATCCACATTAACTATGTTGTATTAATTGCATAGTGCTTCAAATATGGTTTAAGATAATTCCTATTTATTTTGAAAAGCTATAGCTGTGTGATGTTTAAAATTGTGCATGATGCTAAAATATTAGAATTGTTTTTAATCTTTTCTAGGTAGAGCACTCTAAATGATGGGTGTCCAACATACTGAAATATTTCTGCGCTGCAAAGTGTGGTACACATGTCCGGGGTTCGCACAATCCCAAAGATTCCTTAAAAGTCCGTAGATTTTCTGGAATTGAATTTTGGCCCTTGAATGTCCTTAATTTTGGCCAAAGTTGGCAGGAGGTCCTTAATTTTAATCATCTGAAATTTCTGTCTGTTTATACGACTGCCATTTTGAATGTGAATTAGCATTTTGGAAATTCCTTGGCAAATACAGTTATCTTCTGAATGAAAGAGTAGTTTCATGGATTATAATGTGATCCTATTTCTAATATAAATGGCGTGATACTCAAATTTCTGAGCAAGAAATGAAACCTAAGCATTTCGAAATTATTTCATTTTTTTTTCTAAAGAGCTCTTAAACAACTTTCCACTTTTGGGAATGTTAATTCTCTATTAAATGGTTCCAAATTTGGCGACTTATCAACATTAGACAACATGCTAGACATTGCAACCTGGACAGTTTAGAAGGATTTGAAGGCAAGATTTATAGACCCACAGATTCCAAAAGAAAAAAAAAGTCTTCTTAATATTATTGTATGATGATGTATTTTACAAAAATAATGTATCTGTGGTGAATTTCTTACTTTTTGGAGAATATTTGGAAAAGCAGTATTTCAATGCTTTACTTCTGATACTAGAAGTCTTTTTTTTAATATGTTTATCTTCCCTTTATTTTCTGTACTTTCCACTAGACACAAGCATGCAAAATATCAAAAATGCTTCTAATCTTGTCACATGGACAGGCATTTATAGAAAGGATTTTTTCTATTATGGAAGAAATTGAAAACTGACAGTTTAAAAGATTCCTCTTATATGTCTCATTGCATCATACCCACTTGATGCAATATCGGAATCCTAAGTTTTGCTGCCTAATGCATTCCTAAATTCTAAAAGTTTTGTCATTTCTAAATTTTGGAGGTAGTTATGTTACTAAATTCTAAACATTCTGTCAAATTGGCTCTGTAACCATCCCTTACCATATATAATTTCATATTTATTCTGAATATTTGTGTTACTAAAAAAATAAAATTAGCACCTTTTCCTGTACATTCTAAATGCCTTTAATTTTTTAGAATAACAGAAATCTTTTAATTAAATCCAAAAATTCTAAAACAAAGAGGAAACATATTAAAGAGTGCATAAAGACAATTATTCCTTAAAGATATGTACCACTATATTACGTAAATTAAGCAGTTGTTTATAATTTCAGCCTTTACTATAATTTACCCATTCGATTTTCTCACCAGAATGCAGATCACTTAAGATAGCTTTTAAACTAAGGTTTTGGGGTTGTAAGATAGAATTTGTTTCTGGCCTCCACTTGCACGCTGCGATAGTTCTTACCAGCTCTGACAATTTGCAATTATTCGTCTTTGCATTATCGCGGCCGATATTTGAATTATGATGCACTATGATTTTGACGACGTATTATTGAGCTAGCTTAGATTAAAACTAAATTGTGTAGTTTTCCACATAGTCCACATTTTTAGTTTGAATTTGACTGTTCCTGTTTAATTAGATCACTACAAGTTGTAGTTAATTTTGCTAGCATAAGAACGTGCCTATATGTTCTAAATTCTTTTCTTTTTAAAGAAGAGGTTTATTTAAACCTTTATCATACTTTGTAGTTACTTTCAGACATAGTAATAATTTGCTTCACGTCTATCAGGGGTTTTGGACTATTTAACTTTTATCCGATCAAGTAAAACCTCATAGGTACACAGTCGAGAGATTGACAAGTTAGGAGATAAAACTCGAAAAACTAGTGGGAATATTAGTTTCCAATGAGGTCTCCAATAGCAAAGTGGCTGAAACTATGAAACTCAAATAATTAACTTTTGATTCTTTGTGTTAAAATGAGCTACCTACATGAATATTCTCATTCTTTTCTGTTTGTGTAATATAAATACTAGCCAGTTTCCTTTAGAAAGCTCTACAGAAGGCATTCTGCCTTTTAAACATGGTTTTTCTAGTGCTTTGCTGTAGTTGACCAATCAGTTTTAGCTTTGCTATAGCTAAAATTAAGTTTGGATTCTTTTTTATAGCTCATTCTTAATGCTCATATGTGTATGAATTGTTGTTGCTTATCCTTGAAAGATCTGACATATATCAGATCAGCTCCAGAAGGTTGTTGACCTCCAAAAAATCTATAATAAGGGGATCAGATGCTAAGCCTCTCTTAGAAAGTCTGATGCAGCTCAGACTGTGATCCAGTGAAGTTGGATCGTCAAAGTATCTTTTACTAGTGGGGGGTGGAATTTTCCACCACTATGAAAGGTGATTTAAGGTGAATGAAATGACATTTAAGGCGTCGCCACTTGGTTAGTCTAGCCAGAGTAGTCTGTGAGCCATGATCACATTTGATTTCCAGCAGAGAGCCAGGGGATGTTCTTGTGTACCATTGGTGCTTAGATGGAGTATGCCATATTAAATTGAGTTTAGATCTTTCATTTGAGTATAGTTCCTGATAAGTAAGTGAAGAGCCAGTGGCCATTTCATTCTCACTACCCTTTTTGGCCAGTCTATCAGCAACCTTATTACACCAATGTTAACATGAGATGGGATCCACTGAAGGTTTACATCATGGGTCTGAGAGATCTTCCTCAGTTTGAGCAGAATAGATGCACTGGTTTCATCATTTATGGAGGACCAGCCACTAAGATTTTGTAGTGCAGTTTGGCTATCCGATAAAATCCATCTCCAAAATCACAATCATTAGACATGATAGCATCAAGCCCTACATTAATCACAATTAACTGGCTTGTGAAGACACACCAAGTGTCAAGTTTGTGTTGCTTTGTTGTAGTCTCAAGGTGGGGGATCCTAATAAAAATAACACTGCCAGTACAATCTGTATGACTGCCACCAGTATAGACCTGCACTGCATTTTTAAGAATGCAACTAATAATTTCCAGAGTCAACTGTCTAAGATGGTCTTCATGGTGAGTTTGCTTGTTTGCAGTGGATTTCAGATCAATGTGAAAGAAAACTTGGTAGTTCCACTAAGAGGTCAAGTGTATGAATTGCTGGAGAGTAATGATTTTAAATACGATGTTAATTTTCACATGTATCTGGTGAACTATTTCATTTACTTATTAATTTCAAGAACTTAATTCTTGTGATTGAAACCTTATATAATCAAGAAGAGGATTACTATATTTGCAAAATTAGTTCGAAAAAGAAATTATGAGTTTTTATTGAGATTTATTTAGGAAGCCATATATTGCTGTAATTGCAAAATTATGTTTCACCCTCCTCTTTAAACTTTAATCCTAATTAAAAACATATGTGTTTTAACTACTGTATTCAGCCAATAGCAAACATTTTATTTTGTCAATTATGGGAAACTCAGTATTACCATACTCATCAGATCATTAATGTGCAAGTACACTGCCCTGCTGGCATGGAGGTAAGGAAGCTGACTGCCATAGACATGGGCCTGGGTTTGAATTGTGAAGAAGACATGGATCTTTGTAAGCATTTAGTGTCTTTGTGGCATGGGGATAGTTAAAATACTGCCGAACCTCAAGACCTCTTGAGAGGTTGGTGGAAGGGGATGGGAGACCCATGTATCCATTTCCCAGTATATTCTTAAAAAACTGGGATGGAGCTGGGCAGTGTGTATTGTAACCTAAGATAGTGGTGGTGCCATACTACCATTGAGTGCAGACCAGAAAATCCATAATCTTTTTGTAACCTAAAAAGGTACTCAAGGCCTAAGCCAGCCACAAGCAGAATCCTTACCTCCTGGCCACAATAAAATTCATGCACTTGATATGATATATACTTTCACACAAGTGAGATAAATATCAACAACCTACAAATATTACACTTTAGCGTTTACTACACTTTGTATGCAGGTGATTATTTAACGATTTTGCATTACATATATTTTAAGTAACAACTTCATTTAGAAATTCAACTTATATGCTATCTGAATCATAGATAAAGGTGAATTTTCATCCGTTTCTTTAAGGGTTATATGTAATTTTGTTAATAAGTGGTATCGGAAATTCACACTACGTTTACTCTTAGAAACAACTATATGCTTTTATCATGTACCAGAAAACTACAAATAAAAAAATAAAAAAGTAGATATAAGAAAATTTTGAGAACTACTCATTACCGAATAGTTATCGTCGGAAAATGCCCGACAATAATAGAAACTGTTGTGGTGCTGAGAGCGACTATGACCTGAATGCTTGCATTTTATAAAACAGTATTTTATTTACAAAACAAGTAATATTCGCAGAAAAGCACATACAGATGCATGCGCCGGCAGGTTTTCCACTGTGTTACACAGGAGAGTGTGTGGAAGAGTGACTACAATGCTGCTCCTCCTGAACTAGAATTGCATTCACTGCAAAGATTCCCCCCTCCCTCAGTGACAAACAGAATGATGCAAATACATATAATAACTAAATTTTTAAGTAGATGGTACAAAATATATGATACAAATTATAGTGTATATATGCAAAATTTGAAACAGGTTGTCAAATATTTATGAGGTACATGTTAAAAGAATGACAATTAAAATAATGAATATGCAATTAACAAATTGAAGATAATATTCATATGTACAATAATTAATTGGCACTAGTTTAAATTTCACTTATCAGTTTCTTTGGAAAATGGACATGTTTACCTGATTTTATTTTAGTATTTGCAAACAGAGTAGCAGAGATTGGTTGGTCTACTTTCTGTTGGTTGTTTTGAAATTCAATAGATTGTTTAGTGTTTGAAGATAATTAAGGCAAATCCAAATTTTCCAAAAAGTGAAAGGCAGGTTTGAGTCTATCAATTGTTACGGTAGTTGGTTTCCCATTAAATCTATTACAAATGTTTTATCTATTCGCTTTATTATTGGGTGTGGTCCAGAATATGGAGGTTTAAGTGGAGGGCGAATTTTACCAATTCGTAAGAACACCTATATGCATATTCTTAATGATGGATTGACATAAGTTTTGATATTGCCATGACCGACAGAAACAGTGGGATTAAGTTTTCTCATCGTTGCTATTAAATTAGAAACATAAGTGGTGGTAATAGGGTGTTTGAGAGAATCTATAGAAATAAGATCGTATGGTAATCCTAAAGAAATGCCACATACAAGTTGAGGGCTTGTTGCATTTAGATTATTTTTAGTGACTGTGTAATCCTAATAATACCAATGGTAGGATTTCTGTCCATTTTGTATGTTTTTGTGCTGTAGGAGCACTTTTGAGATGTCAGTGTAATCTTTCTAACATTCCATTGCTTTGAGGGTGATACGAAGTTAAATGAATTCTGTGGCTGGCTAGTATATTTGTAAGTTCTCGAAACGATTACGATTCAAAATTTCGTCCTTGATTTGTTGTAATTTTGACGGCTGTTCCAAATCTAGAGGTCCAACTGTGCAAAAAAGTACGTACAGTGGTCTCAGCAGACATATCTGATGTGGAAATAAACCTACGGTAAAAATTGTACACACCGAGAAATCTGTGAAACTGAGTAATCGTATTTGGTATAGGAAAATTTTGTATTGCTTCAACTCAATCAGTTTGTAGAAACATTAGGTATTTTTGAAGCAGGAGAGATAAAAACTGAACAATGCCCTCGCCTGGACTTGAACCACGGACCTCCAATACGCGTCGAGCATGCTGACCACTACAGCACGAAGGCATGCTAAGAAGACGGGAGAAATACTTTATAAGGTAAGGGTGAAAGTCCTTTTTGGGAAACTCAAAAACATAGAAATTCTAACAAGGATGCTTTTAAAGTGCATTGGCATGGTTTTAGTGAAAGACTATAATGATTAAGACGTTCAAATACTACTCGTAAATTATGAATATGCTCCTCTTGAGTTTGGGATGCAATCAATATGTCGTCAGTGAATGCATGAACACCATTGTAAATCTCTAGTAACTTCATCAATGAATCGTTGAAATGTACTGGAAGCATTGCATAGGCCAAATTGTATTCGAGTGCTTTTGAAGTATCCGAAAGGGGTACAAATGCCTGTTTTGTGGATATCTTCTGGTGCAATAGGAATCTGATGAAAAGCTTTTACTAAGTGTATGTGAGAAAATATTTTAGTACCATGTAGTTCACTTCTAAAGAACGTTTGCAGGTAATTACTGTAACATAAGTGAGATGGCAATAGTATGCGACTCGGCGCGGCACTGCATCCCACATGAAGCAATTCGCTAGGCATACGGTCGCGTAACTGTTCAGCTAAAAAGCATCGAATTTCTTGAGTTTTGGTTTCTCCTCAATTGGAAATGATGTGCTCCTTCAACTGGGTATAAGGATCTGTTTTTTCAGGATTTATGATGATATCGCGAGCCATGGATGCTGCATCTGGTGGGAGATGAGAAACGCAATAGTTATATTTTGTTTTCGATTCGGTGATAGGCTTGAGAGAAGCCAAATCAAAAGTAGCTTCACACGTGAGAAACCATAAAGCAGGATCAGCATAATTTAATGACTGGGATTTTCACTCTCCAATGTCTTCGCCATTGAGAGTGTGCGATGGTAGGCACACACAAAATGAAAGTCTAAAACGAAATTCAAAATTTCACAGGTTTGCGTAGAGTTCCGGAGGTCACAAGGTGCTGGAAGCGGCTATGTGCATGTTGTTATCCTAGATGCAACTGAGATGAACGCTTGCATGAGTGTGTGGAAGAGTGACTGCAGCGCCACTCCTCCTGAACTAGAATGCGCTTACTACGAAACAAAATGATCTCACCATTTAGAGATTCGTAAGAATCAGCAGGACAAGCCTATAAGAAGGATGTACGCACTATGTTGCCAGAAGATTGGACAAACTGTCGAACGCCAAGAAGCGAGGAAAAATGTAACAAAAACTACGTCCTATTGTACCATTTGTCCAAAATCACCCCAAATGTGCTTAGACTGTTTTAGCGAATATTATGCGACATAGTGTAATTTAATATTTTATCCTAAATATAAAATTAATAAAAAATATAGGGTAATGTGTGTATTTAACGTTTTATTAGCTATTTTCTCCCTCCTTCCAGCATGTCTTCGTGGTGTAGCGGTAGCACACTCTGCGCATATTCAAGAGATCCAGGTTTGAGCTCCGGTGAGGGAATTGCTCATTTTTCACGTCTCCTGCTTCAACAACGAAAAAAAAAAAAAAAAAAAACCTAATGACTCTATATGTTCTATACCCTATATTTATATTTCAGTGCTTATTCCAATGAATTCCTTTTGAAAATTCTATTTAACTTAAGAGCGTCAATCATATTTGAGTGGCGGGGTCCAGATATGAGTGAAGCGTCGACGAACGTGTTAAAATACCTTCGGGAATATACAGGTGCCCGCTTTGCTTCAACCTTTACCTGTATATACGCAACGCTGTCTGATGTTATTTTAATGAGGCTTAATCGGAACCAAATTCTGAAAATATAATTTTCTAAAAGTGTGATTTAATTCATAATTTCATTGCGAACAGAAAAGACTAGCTCATCACAACATTAGACCTTGCAGAAAGAGTTTTCATTCCAAGTAAATTTGCAAGATGACATTCTGACTAATCTGAATGTTCTCCCTAAGCTCGTGTTGCTCATTGCTTATGTCAAGAAGTAACTGGTTTTGCAGATATGAACAAGGAGTAATCCATCATTCCTTTGATTACGAAGTTTCATTAGACTTGATTCTAAATCATCCTGAATTCTTTAGCAAAACTCACCGTTGTTTGTTGACAAAAAGTGGAACCAGTTCTCCCCTACTCTTAGTCCCACTTAAAACTTAAAGTTTGCATTTCTATCGTTTCTCTAAATAAAATATGTTGTATGCATGGTGAGTAAATAGTAGTTATGATTAATTATTTTTAAATAAAACAGACAACAGTATTAAAAGAAAACATAATTTTATTAACCAAAATTTAATCTTTGATATTAAAATTAAAATTTACTTTCAAAAAGTATTTTTAAAAACATTCTAATTATCACTTACATAATATGATGAATATGAAATGCATGACTTATGAATAAAACCCAATGAATTTTTTTTTTTTTTTTTGAAATTTCACCTTTAAAATGTCATAAAAATTGGGAAAAATATATCGTATAAAAATCATATCAAACGTAAGTCTTTTGGATGAAAGACAGTTTTTCTACGTTTCAGGTATAAATTTGCAGCTTATAATTTTTTTCCTTTTAACACTTCGTGCAAGAATATATATAATAGAATTTTTAGTTATATTTCAAAGGTATGTACGTGTCATGATATGCAATGAGGCTTCTTACTCCTCATAATTTTAAGCATCTAAATTTCTTTTCATTTGCAGTAAATGGTATAGTTTACAATGCTATAAAGACTTTTTTCAATTAAAATTGTGCTTTTACATATAAGTTGTGTATGTATGTATGTATGTATGTAGATATAGATACATATAAATTTACTGTACATCGATTCATACAAGTAAATATTTCTTTGGTTGCACACACACAGTCTGTTAGGTGCATTGTGCTACGGGAGTTTTTTCATAATGTAACATAAAAGTAACATAGCAATGTTGGATGTGCTCACAATTTTCTTCGAAAGCCAAAAATTCATACAAACACCTTGTAGTGTTTAGGAACTCAGATGGAATTCAGAGGCAGGAAAAATAAACGTTCTGAATAAATTAATATTTCACTTCCGAAAAGAAAGAATTATTTATGTGAAATATGTCATCTCCATGTTTTTAGTTTCTTCAACGAAAACCGTTTAAACTTCGTGCCTGTCGTTTCTCTGCTTTCATCCTCTCCTTCGCTGTGTACTTGCCTCCTTGAATTCTTGTTGCTATTGTCCCCACCTACAAGGCAACAAACGTAGAAAAAAAGCTGTTTTAAATAATTGGGCTATTAATAGTATTGATTGTGCATAATTTATTTCTCTACTGAAACACAAATTCATTCTGCAACATTTTTCTCTTTAAAATATTTATATAACTTGAAAATTCATAAAAATTAGGGAATATGAGTTCAATGTATATCATTGTATAATTTAAACATATTTACTATTGGGATGGACGGTGAAGGGAAGTATTGAAATAACGAAAAGATTCTAAATCCATATAGTTATAAATTGTACGCCTTAAATTGTTCTTTCTGTCTAGAAGCGGAAAAGTCGCTGAACACTGGTAGTTTGATCAGAGTTCGAATTCAGGCGAACTAGCTGGTTGCTTAAGCGTTTGAATGGTTTTTCCCTATGTGTAACATAATATGAGCCACTTTCCCTTAGACTGCCCCCCCCACGAAAGCATCCCCTCCGTCAGGTAAATAGCCTTCGCGTGCTTTGCGATAATCAAATAAACGAAACTTTCTAGAGCAGTCACTTAAACTGTTGCGCAACCACTACTAGTACATTGCTTTATTTTCCGTGGAAAAATGATTGCAAAATGGCTCCGCATTTAACATTTTACTTTAATCGTTGTTGTTCAAACGTAATATAATTTTTTTTTTTTTTCTCGTTTTGGGTGCCTTCCTTAAGTTGGCACTTATGGTGGTGGCCACACTGACCATTTGCTACTTACGATTCTGGAGTTAATATTGAAACAAGAGGTAGAGTTAATATTGAAACAACAAGAAGAAGTTTTTAGGCTTAACGAATCACAGCCAGTGGCAACTCGTAAGTTATTTAAATGAAGGTTCACAAAAAAATTTCCAAAAATTAAATATGCAGATACGATGTAAAACTTATAAGTCAAATTACATTTGTGTTTTCACAAGTTAAAGGAAACAATGCAACTAAAAAGTTCTCATAGACCAAAAAATAAAAAAAGTTGTAACACTTTATTTCTGACAATGGAATATAATAAAGCCATAATATTGCTTCTTTGAACGTTCGTAGGGTTGTACTTGAACTGATAATGCTAAATAGTCCAGAAACCCTAACAGACGTGAAGCGAATTATCACTATGTCTGAAACAATGGCAAAATCGTGAAAAGGTTAAAATAAACTATTTTTGATTTAAACAGAATTTAGAACACAAACGCACTCTCTTGTGCTACACAATAAAAGTCACAGCTTGTGGTGATGCTAGTAAACAGAATAGATTTAAATCAGTCGTTGAGCAGTAGTCAAGTACTACACAATTAAATACTGTTAGAAACTAGCTCACTACTGTGCTGTCGGCAGCGATAGATTATAAGCCGAATAATTACGACTATCAGAGTTGGCAGGAAACTAACACGTAGCGTGCTCGCGAAGCCAAAAACACGCTCTGCCTTAGAATCCAAAAATTTAAGTTTAAATACTGGCTACGAATTTTCATTCGGGTGAGGAATACGTAAAGGAGAAATCATAGTAAAGGTTGAAATTATAAATAACTGGTGACTCGAAATTCTTTACACGTTGATTACAAAATAGTCAAGTACAATTTTTGTAAATTAAATCTACTCACTTTTTTTTTAGGCAAACAAATCAATAACATTTTCACTGAATTTTGGTATGTAATTTATCATGCGTTTTTCAGTTCGAAAGCATCGCTAGAGCGCTTGGTCTGGCCTCGATTCATAGTGCTTCTTAAAAATGCCTTAACTCATTTAGAGCTGAGTAGCATCTCTCAGCTTCAGCAGTGGTCACTGAAATAGTAACAATAATTAGCAACACTTTGTAGGTCTCTGAAAACGTAGTGAAAAAGTAGTATTCTATAATAAATTGTAGAAGACTAATGGCACCAGTTATATTTCTGAAATCTTATCTTCTGTAAATTACTCCTAGTTCAGTTTTCAGACGGTCCTTCTGTAATGGAACAAACATCAGCTGTTTGGTCAAGAATCTGAGTTGGACTTTTTCTCGTACTCCTAGAATTTTGGAGCTTCGAGAAGAGAAACTTTAACAGCTACAGATCTATTTTTATGAATATTTTCTCTCTTCCTTTTACTTAAAATTTCAAATGACTGGCATTGTATCCATTCTCTTCCTTTCTTTCTCTAATGACTGCTGGAAAATGTGTACTTGCTTTCTAATTAGTGCTTCTTTTTTTCTTAGGCATTCGTCGATGAGTTTCGTTTTTACGTATTCCAACGTTAGTTCTTCTGGGCGGGCTTCTAAAGCTGTAACAAGATTTTCGTAGCTTTTTGGTAAGCCGCTTAGTAAGGGTGCTGCAATGTGACTGTTCTTTATTACTTCACCAATTCCTCGCAGTTCGTCTACGATTTCGAGCATTTTGTTAACGTGTTCTTCCAGTTTGTATTCGTTTTCTGCTTTTAACGTATACGGCTTTCTGAGAAGGTAAAGTTTACTGGAAAAATTTGTTCTTTCATGAATTTTCTTTAATTCATTCCATATCTCTTTAGCTGTCGTTTTATTTCTTATGTGTAAGATTTAGTTGTTTTCTAAGAGTAAACTTATGGTAGCTTGTGTTTGTTCATCTCGTTTTGTCCATTCTGCGTTTGTTTCTTTTGGTGCGTCATCTGCGGTTAAATCCCATAAATTTTCCTTTTTCAGGATCATTTCAAGTTTATATTTCCATATTTGATAGTATTGTTTAGTTTCATACACTGGTTATCATAAATTAAGGAAAAATCACAATTACTGAAGAAGTTACATATAGAATTTAATGAAACTTACCCACGATATACAACACATAGTAAGGTATCAAATAACAAAACAAAACAAAAAAAAAAAAAAAAAAAAATTACCAGACAAATATGGTGGTATAGAAATTAGCGCATGTATAAAATGAACAAGTCGAAGGTGTCAGTTTGCTATAGGAAAAGTACCTTCAATATAGAATATGATCGCCTCTAGAAGCAATACAGCACATACAGCGATGTGTGATGCTTTCAATTATGCGGTCTATCAGTTCAATAGGAAGCGAGAGCCATTGCTCTTGCAAAGCAGTTGCAAGCGCGACAAGAGTTTGAGGGGGCGGACTGAGAGCAGCTAGACGTCTCCCTAAAGCATCCCAAACGTGCTTGATATGATTCAAGTCCGGGGATCGAGCTGGCCCCTCCATGCGCATAATTGTTTCCTGTTGAAGGTAATCATCTACGATGCGAGCCCTGTGTGGTCTTGCGTTGTCGTCCTGTAACAGGAAAGCATAACTTATTGTTCCGGCATATGGGCACACATAAACATCAGGGATGTCATCTCTATAAATCTGAGCATTCACGGTTCCCCTTGGAAAGACATAGAGGTCTGTGCGTCCACCCAAAGAGATGCCACCCCAAACACAGACACTGCCCCTTCCGTATGCATCTCTTTCACGGATGTTTTGTTTGACGGATTATAACGGGTTCTAGGTTCTCTCCATATCAAATAACGCCTACTCTGGCTTTCTAGACTAAACCTGGACTCATCCGTAAAGAGAACCGTCTTCCATTAATCAGGCGTATGTTGTCGTGCCCACTGAAAACGGTCCCTCCTATGGCGTGACGTGAGCGGCATACAAATGGCTGGTCGCCTCGCATACAGACCACCTTCGTGAAGCCTTCTACGCACAGTTGACGTTGACACAAACCTTCCGGTGGCTGCAGCAAGGGAGGATCTAAGAAGAGTCGGAGTAGCGGTTTTATTCCTGCGTGCACATAATGTCAAATATCGCTCATCGTAGCAGTTGGCCGTCCTTGGCTGAACCTTCTAGATGCCGAATATGTGGTTTGAAATTGCCTCCAAAGTCTATGAACCACAGAAGGACTCACATTTAGCTATCTGGCCACTTCTGTTTGACTTTCTCCTGCCTATAGTCTCTCAATGGCTCTCCATCGCAGTTCTGCAGGCAAATAATGCCTGGAGGTCATTGTTACGTATTGGCTATCTCAGATTTCTGTTATCACTGTCACAGTGAAATATGTGGGCTTGCTCTCAAACATGGACTTTTATGCTCCTCGCAGATGACGTATTCCGAAAGCAGCGCCACTAATTTGCATATCGCAGTTTTACTCAGCTAGTCTTACTTGGCAACATATTTAAATTTTACACGATTTGGCTTATTTTTTGAGGGAGTTATCGCTATTTTTGTGATTTTTCCTTAATTTATGATAACCAGTGTAATTGAATATTCTGTTTCGATGCTAATAGCCATTTCTGCTTCTGTTTCTCGAATGCGCAGTACAAAAAAAACTATGTAGTTTTGTTTCGCTTTTGAAAACAGGCCTGGCTTTCCTTTTACGGATTATTCAACGGTGATTTACGGCAGAGTATCTTTTCTGTTTGTATTTATATTCTTGATAGCTTATCTCGATATGTTTTATGCGTTTAGTTGAAGTAAACATGCGCTCAGTCACATTATCAAATACTGTGTAAGGATCCTAAGTTTTACTAACGTTTATTTTATTTTAAAACTGTACTGTCTCTTCTTATTTTCTACTTCCGGTCAGAATTAAATGCTTTAACTTGTTTATGCAAATTGTTTTGCTAACGCCAAGTACTTAAGTTATGGCTTTTTGCCAAGAGAGAGAGAGAGAGAGAGAGGAAGGAGTTATAGGAAGCAAGCCGCTTCCACTATAGTTTTACGAGTTTTTACTCTGTTGCTGGTTGCCTTTAAGGCCAGAGGTTTAGCCCTCTTGATAATTGCAGACGTATCGTAGTTTTAGCAGCTCGGCGTACTACATACGTACCTTTCTTTGAATAAAGGCCAATCTTAGTGCTAGGCATTTGTATACTAATTGAAAGTTAGTTTTTAGTTAGAGTTTTAGTTAGTAGTTTTTATATTCTTACGTTCAGACCACAAGTGGTTGGTCTCTGTATTCCGAAGTTTCGGAAATACCTGTAAAAGATTGAAAATAAAGGGTTTCGTATACCCTTCCTGCTTGCGTTGTCTACTTCACCCTTTCTTGAACATAGCTTGAGTAAGCTCCCTGTTCCGATTCAGGACCATTCATGTTTCCAACGCCAATAAAGAGAAACACAAGTTCTGATAACTGAAGGTACGCTGGTCCATTTGTTTACTATTGCAACTTCGCTAATTTGAGATGAGCAGATAAATGAAACAGAATTAAAGTTCTTACCTTGATAAGGTGTAATCCGTGCTGAGAATGTAGAAAATACGTTACTAGCACATAAGAAACAACATATTTATTAGGTATAAGAAGTAAATAATATACAGCGATGAAACACGTGTAGTTCGCTGTCCGTTGCAGAACGCTAGAGTGAGTCATTTAAAGAGAGAATGTTTCTCCTTCTTTTTGAATCAAGTCCAATTCCGGTTAGCGGGGGTGAGGGGAAATTAACGTCGGAGTGTACAGTTTCATCACTGTTGTTATCAATTGCTCAACAAGCTCAACCATGAATTATACGTTTTCTAACAGTTTCATCTAGAATAGCAATTCTGTGTAGAGAGTTATTGAATAACTTAATAATATTATTCAGGTTGGAGAAAAACACTCGAATTTTCTGATTCTGGCTGATTGCTTGCCAAGGAATCAAACTGAGTTGATGTGCTTAGCAACGCATAAACTGTGCATTCTTGTAGGTATGTTGAATAAAAGCTTAAAGACCACTGTGATGACCACTCATTACGCTCACCATCTACCGTCATAGCTCTGCGATATTAATTTCTTCGGTTTGTCTACTACTCGTTCCAAACTTGCTTGGATATATTCAGCTATAAATATTGCAGGTGGATTCGTGAATTCCGAGAATTTTTCAACCGGTTGTCTGTTTTTTATTTATCGAAAAACGGCAGCCAGTTGGGAAGTGAATGACCCATCAGTAGTTTCATCTGCTACTGTTGAAACAAAACTTGCTTAAGATCCAATTTTTTATGTGGTTCTGACAAATAGTAAACATGCAGTCTAATTAACCATTTTGAATTTCTTTTGACGCTCCTTTAAAAATATTGGTACTAGTGAGACAATTTTCAGGGTATGAATAAACTTATATTGAGAAGTTGGTAAGATCTCTGGGAACTCCTGGGTATAATGAATCCTCGCGTTCATCGTGTTCTTTTAGTGCAACCTCAAATGCACTGCAAAACAGAGCGAAGTCAATAATTTTTGTTAGAACGTAACAACTTTTGACAACCTGCTCACGGTGCCTTTTAACATTTGAACGAAATGCAGTGTCGAATATCACCCTTTCCTAGCAAATTAAATTCTAAGATGAAGTTTAAATGTGATTGTGAGTATGCTTGCTTTTTTATTTTCTGAGCTAGATGTGATAAATCAGCAACACCGTAACTCACCCAACTGGAATCACCAATCTGTTTTGGAAGCAAGAGACACGGAAAACGAAATAACCAATTTGTTGATTCGCATCCACAAACCCTTGAACATTTCTCATATAAATTGGGTTTGAATTCCCTTTTGATACTCTGGCCTTACATTTCGTCACCTGGATAAAGTTTAGCAAAGGCATTAATTAGCCTGAGAATTTGAATTTTTCCTTCCAAATACATTGAAAAATGTAATTGCTTAGTTCCGAAGGGAGTGATTTGCTAAGTGCCATCTTAGTGTAAACAGCCATGTTTATAGCGGTTCGGAAAAAATACATATCGATAAATGATAACAATTTGAAAAAGTAGTAAGAAAATGGAAAAACGAATTATCTAACCGAATATAGGAAACCAAAGGGGAATTCTACCGAGATAACTCCGAGCAGAGCTAACTCTCGCCACACTAAAGATGAGCGCGAAAGGAATGATATCAGCCCTGACTTTCCCCTTCCCCTCCTCTGTCCCTATAAACTGGCTTTCAAGGGTATTTCTTTGATGCGATAGAGGAAAATCCAAGTGCTCTGTGCTACAGTAACCTGCAATGCAGTATGTTAGCTACGTATCAACGTATTGCAAAAGGGTCGGGAGGGGGATAAACTCATCCTGCAAATTGACAAAAGTCTGAAGCACATTTAATATTATTTTATTTAATTTGTTAATAAAATCATTTCTTCGTTTTTCTTTGGGGGTTCACGTGTTTATGTGCACAAACAGAGGAGCCACCACTGATTGCAACGTATATTTGTTTTTTTATTATAATGCAAAACTTTTCCTTGCGAATATAATTGAATAATATAAATTTAAAATTATGATGGAACATATATTTTTTCTTCTTATTTTTGTGGTTTAAAAAAAAGGAAGCATCGCTCTAGAGCAGGGTTGCATAAGCTTTTTCCAATCGCGACCCCTTTTCATGGCTGAGATTTTTTCGCGACCCCAGATATTAAATATATAATAAAGATATAAAAATAAATATCCTACCGTAAATAATTTACTTCTTTGGTAAACAATACGCATATAAGAAAGTAGTTTCAGAATTTATTTTAAGCAAACAAAAATTAAAGAAAATTCTAATGAGACAGATGCGCTTGTTTTCTGCTGAATAACAAATTAAAATTTTAGTGCTATATTTGACACTGCTGGACATAAAGCATCTTCAACATGTTTCAACGTTGAACGATATTTGATTTTAAGCTGAAAAAGTAGCTTTATAAAAATATGTGGTGCTGAATGAGAGAACATTTAATGCTATTTCAAAAATAGTGAGAAATCTAGTTCTAACTCCGATGTAGAATTCATCAAGGATTTTTGTGAAAACTCCGCTAGATAGATTTACAAATTCCTTTTGCACTTTATATAACAGGTGGTGAATCTCATTCATATGTAATGTCTTTAAACGGCCAATCTCACTAATGTCAATTTATGTAATTTCTTTTAAAGTCCGGAGAATGCAGTTTCTTTAAATTTAAATATCGAACTGAATACGCACGACCCCAAAATTTCGATTTGCGACCCCATTAGTTTAAGAAACTGTGATCTAAAGGAGCGATTCTCAACCGGTGTTTACGCAAAGAAACAAAGTATTTTTTATCTATTAAATTCAAAAATTAAATACCCCAACATCCTGCTTAAGTTTTTTTCTCTAGCACTCGTAAATTTATGCGATATGAGCTTTGTTCAAGGTCAAAAGCTGTTCATTTTATCAAAATAGTCCGCTTTTATTTTCAAAAATATTCTTTTAGACATAGACGCTTCTTTCTCGGGCTACGCAATGAAACAAGGCACATCGTAGCCGTGAAAGCGTGTTACGAGAAAAGCGGAGCATAACAATTAAAGAAGATGTAGTCACTATTATACATTAGTGTTAAATCAGCTCATCATATCATTCACGACGAGCTGAAGCTATGAAATATTTGAGCAAGATGAGTACTCAAGAACTTGAGTCCTGAAATGAAAGAGAAACTTACCGATGTTTTTTAATAGCGAATGCATCGACATGAGGCTGACGATGGAGTTAAGTGCTTTGAGTTAGACGGGGCTATGTTGAGCATTTAGAATGAAATTATAAGAGATGGGATATTCGAATCTTCCAAACCTTGAGAAACTCGAGAAAAATTTTAAGATTCGAAAACAAAATCTTCGCGCTCTTTTTCATCATTTGAATCCCAACTTGAAAATTTGTTAAATGTTAAACTCAAAATTTTGGAAATATTAGTCTTATTAATCTCAGATGATGAATTCATTGCAAAATAGCGCGACTGCTGCAGTTAAGAGAACTGTTATCTCCAATACCACTTTGTGACGTTCTTAACATTTTGGATGGAATTTAGCATATCACGTTTATTGCCTACCTACGTTAATTCTTCAAGTAATCTTCATTTTACACCAGCTTTGATTTTAAAAACGTATTTAAAATGTAAAAATTTCAACCATAACTCAAATATGTTTTGTCACATTATACTGAGAAAATGAATCAAGATTCAAGAGTTTTAAATACATACTTCATTTACTAATTTCTTTTGTATTTCTTAATAAATATAGATGCATTATTAAAAACTTCAATAATAATCTTAATTTTTTTTCATTAGTCACAGATTTCATGTTTTGCTTTGATTAAAAACTTTGAACATTAAATATAAGTTTCTTCTTATTTCCTACTCTTATATGAAGCATTCGAGAGATTTGGGATTCGAGAACCTTTTAGAATTCTTATTCAAGGAACTTTGGAAATCATTTCATCTGTATTAATTATTTTAGCGTTGATAAAAAAAATAACCAAATATTTTGTTGTTGTTGTTGTTGAACGAAGTAACGCAACACATTTTAAACAAATTCGGTCTTCTTGCAATTACATAAAACCAACCACTGAGTGATATTGCACTTCTGGAGAAAATTTTATTTAAGCTAAAGTTAGGATTTTTAACAAAAATGGAAACATGTTTTTTTTTTGTTTGTTTGTTTTGTTTTTCTGTTTACTTGTTCAGAAAATGAATATAAAAAGCGAAAATGAAAATATTAGCATCTCACCTTTAGCAGAATATCCAAATCTCCTTAAGCCAGAGTACTTTTTAATTTTTTTATCAGATTTCCCCTGAAAATGAAATATTTCATTACATCCTTGCATTATAAATACTGTTATAGTTATGATTATTAGATTATAATCAACCGCATTGAATATCATACAATTATTGAATGAAACATTGATTCATTACTATTTTTTACATTAAAAATTGGATCGCACTGCTTATCTGAGCTATTTTCAGTTCATTAGTCTTTAAAAAGCAGCCCACGATTTTTAAAAGATGCTCAGAAGTTTTAGGAAATATAATCTCTTGTTTTCAATTAAATGTGTATAACCATATGCTTTTCAAATTGATTGAACTGAAAGAACTTTGAATCATAGTGACAAAAAGTCGCCCAAAATTTTATATATTACGTTGAAGGCAGCCATTTATTACAGTAAGTAAATTATGCCGATAACATATTTAGTTAAAATTGTAGAAATATGATTTTTAGTAACTTCGGCTGTTAAAGTATTAATTGATAAACAACATTTAAAACGCAAAGTATTATTTTTAGCTTATTAATTTCTAAGGCTGAAGATGCTTTTATTTGTCTTTGTTGATATACACATTACCATTAGGTCCTTACTCATCCTTTTAACTTCAGGTTGAAGTTTTCTAGAGCTACAGAGGCAGGATCTACTGTCATGAAATTGAATATGCGCTATGCATTCGAAACAAATGCTGCGCATTAGAGGCGTTTTCCTAAGCTGATGTTTTATTTTCAGTTACACAAATATTTAAGTATTTTTCTCTGAAATCTGTGTACGAAAATTCAGCAATTTTCAAAAACATCTATCTGAAACTTAAAAATTAAATATTTCGGTCAGTTTTGTCGTAACGTGAATCACGCAGTTTGTATTTATTATTATTTTTTTTAACATGAACATAACAGTTTCCTAAACGCAAGTATAGGGGCCTTAACAACGATTTTAGATTTCGTAATTTTTATGAAATTGATATTTTTAAATTAAAATGTGTAAGGATTATGTTAATTTTATTAACAGTTAAATTTTAAGTTAAAGTTCCTTTCCTGTTAAATTCTTAACTTCAACTTACTACTTCCGGCCAGAACGTAGTTTTGGAATCTTGCTGAATATTTAATGAGGAGGAGCGGTATTTAAACCACGAAGTTACTTACTGAGTCAGAGAGAATCAGAGTTTCTGATTTACGCGCGTCTGCCTTTTTGGCCACTCTCTCTCTCAAAGCTGTTATTACGCTCTGCCGTACTCAGGCCCTTGCTAAGTTTCGTAGTCAAATAAGTTAAGGGGCCAACTCGATTTGAACCTTGATAGCTTCGGCTATACTTCTTTAGTTAATCTTAGTTTTAATTTAATTCTTAGTCTTTTAAGTTCAAGTCCAAGTGCGGGCTTTGCTTGTACACTCCCAGGCGGAGTTTGTTAAATCTTATTGGAATAATAACGGGTTAGTTACCCTTCTATCTTGTCGTTTCTTGTCACCGAACTCAAGCGATTATTCGCTTATCAGTTCTTAGATTCTTCACTTCCAACATTAACTTAGAATTCCAAAGTGAGGAACTCTACAAATGTCAAGCATGAATATTTGCGTCATGTAAAATATATTTGTAATTACAAGTTTTAAGTCTACGACAAACGGTTGCGAAAATAAAGGCTGGGTAAGAACTTTTGTGGACACGGTATATAAGACTTAAGGAGAAAAGCTGCATATTTGATTCTATCTTAAAAAAAAAAAAAAAAAAAAAAAAAAAAAAAAAATGTTCTTTTGTTTGGTAAATAAATGCACAATCAAAGTAATTGTCAAAATGTTTGTAGAGGTTACTTTAAGTTTCTAGCAGTTATTTTAAGTTTAAACACGCCTTACTGTCTATTCTCGTTTCCCATCTACTGTTCCTTACCAGAATGAGTTTTTATTATCGCGTTTTATGCAAATGAATTAGAAGGAGTATTTAAAGAAAGTTCAGCTTACTTCGAAAGAGAGAGCTTAGAAATCCTTAGTGGCGCGTGTTTGCCGTCTGGTTAAATCGTTCTTAAATCTACTGCTCTCGGCCGTATTGTACGTGCCTGTTGATAATTGCCGGCTAGGTTAAATTAAGGGCCAAGTGCGTTGGGTATTTGTGTCTAGATTTAGATAAGTCTGCTTAGTTAAGTGTTAGATTAATTTCTTATTCTCTTATCTTGAGTCAAAAGCCCGAGTGGAGGCTTTCCTATAAGCCCGAGAAGCGGCCATCTGTTATTATTTCTTTGAGTAAATAAAAGGGTATTTTGGCCCTTCTCTGGATCTGGTTACTATACACGTAAACTCAGCGTCGCTCTACAGTTCATTAGATTCCTTTACTTTCTACATAGACAAAATATCGATGAACGTTATATGTTTCTTACTGAATTATTAATATTTCCATTTTATATCGTTAATACATTTTCATATTTTTGTATATGAAGTTGCAGAAAAATTAAATGTTCTTAATAATAAATAAATTCTTAATAAATAAATAAAATAAGTTCTTAAATAAATGTTTAATGATTTACTGTATTTATCAAAAATATTTTAGAAGTTTCATTTTAAAGCTTAGTGTAGAAAATACCTGATCTCTCTCTCTCATTTCAAACCAACCCCTGCCCTTCCATCTTTGTTGGGCAAGGAAGACATTTTCATGGTCTTGCAGAAATCTTCTCTGTCTCTGCAATCGCTTTTTGCTAGATGATGCCGATTCAGCAAGGGGAGGATACTCCAGTTCTTCAACCAAACCAAATTTGCTTGGATCTTCCATTCGCCTTGCTTTGAGCAGAGCCTGAAAGTGAAAGCTAAGCTTCATATACAGGACATTCTAAAAGGTATCCTTAATAATTCGTAACTACTGATCCTAGATGAATTTTTCCAGCTATAAAGTCTCGTAATGCGAAGTAAAGAATTTTATGGAAATAGTTTCAACAATACTTTTGTTACAACAATATATATATATAAGATTTCCTCCAAAAACGTTCTTAATAAAGTTAGAAAAAAAAACATGAAAGCAGTACTTTTAATTTGAGTAGTAATCACTACCCAAATCTATGCTTTTCTGTCAAAGTTTTGGTAGATTTTCAAAGCCTTCGTCCCAGAAACTTGATGGCCGCGAGTCCAAAAAAACAGATCAACCTCATTTCAAATGTACAGTGCAGAATGGAAGATAGCACCAGCATCAGGAAGACAGCATCAGATGTAGTTGCAAATTTGAAAAAAGCTAGAAATCCGAAAGAGCAATGTTGGGGCTATATGGTGGGTGTGGCAAAAGATCCCATTTGAGTCCGTACAGAGTCCAGCCGGTGAATGAAGACACATGTGATCTTGATGGAATATTACCTTTTTGCACCGGAACTCAGTTCGACGTTTTTCCTTGATAGCAGCTCAGCACAGACTAGTATCTCGCTGTACACCTTACTGTCGAGGGTTTTACCTTTTCGCAGATACTCTTTGTGGATTATACCACGGCAATTACACCAGATAGAAAGCATGATCTTTTTATTAGTCAAAATGCGCTTTGCCAACGGGATCACCGGGCGCAGACCAACCCCATTTTCAGCCTGTGTTGTTAAAGTAAATCCACTTTTCATTACAAGTGACGATCCGGTCTAGAATTTTGCTCTTGCTTTGATATTCGAGCAGATAACTGTAGGCCCGAACACGTCTGTTCTTATCCGCTTGAGTCAGCTCATGTAAAACCCAGTGATTGAACTTGTCAAATTTATGCAATGCATAGCGTGACTAATGGACATGGCACTAGCATCTAACTCCTTAGCAAGCTTTCGAGTGGTTGCATATTGAACGTTTTCCACATTTTCTCGCAGGTGGACCTCACCAACATCAGCAGGCCGGCCAGAGCGCTCTGCCTCTTGAACGTCATAGTCCTTATTTTTGAACTTTTGGTACCAAACCTTCACAGTGTCATTGATACAGCATTAGTACCTAAGGCTATACACATGATTTAGTGACGTTCTTTCTTCTGACTTTTTGCGATAGAACTGGGAGTAAATGATTGTTCTAATATGATAATGTAATAGTTCCATTTCAGACACTGTGTACTTAATGAAAACGCTATTTTTTTTACAAATATCACAACTCAAGGTTCTAAAGCAAATGCCTTTCTTTCAAATGCCAAAAATTGTTTGACCAAACACGCCAACGCGAACTGTTTGCGCAGACGATATTTTCGGTGCTGGGAAACATTCGTGAAAACTCGATACATATAGTATATATATGAGTTACATTCGTTTCATTATTTTGATTAATATAAATTATATGGTTTTCCCAGAGTAAAATCTGCATTAATTTAAAACAAAATACTTTATGTGAAAAATTTGTTGAGATAAAATTCATAAATATATTCACCGAAAATAAAGGGATCCGCTATAAATTTAAAGACTAATGCTGTTTTACACAAGACGAAATTGCTAAGAGTCGAAACGAGTAGCTTTTATTTCCCAGCTGCATCCTAGATTTGTGATAAAAGCTTTAACATGAAGTCAGTAAAAGGTAAGGGAAAAGTCATTAAATTTATTCTCGAATATCCGCGAATATTATTTTGAAAATAAACTTGCAGTGCTCCAGAAAGAAAGCAGAATGCTCCGAAAGTTTTGGAGATCATTCGCTCCATAAAAAAATCATGTGCCACTAATTCTTCACTGCCGAAATATCTAGGTATCGTGTTGGCCAAGAAATCACGCAATCGATTTTACAAATGATATGTACACTGATTTTAGTGCGTGTCTTCATTGTACTTGATATGTATTCCAGATATGATCAGCACTTGATGATAATGACATCTTAAACTATGGTTCTGCGATGAAGTAATAACGTTTGACGTTTAGTAATAACAAAAGAATCAATTCGTTTAAAGTCGCTTTCAAACTTTGGTTCAGTAATCACCAGTACTGAGAGAGAATCGCTACGATTCAAATAGTTCTAACGTTACGCCACTGCAACCATTCATAATGAGGGTTTGGAATTAATGACGATTTTTACAAAGGATGGCTTGATTACAGAACTTTCTTCAACTAATAGATGAGAAATTGTCTGTATCCAATTACAGTTCTTTCACTCTACCGTGCAAATTGCTCAGATTGCTACCGGCTGTACATCTGCTACTGCATGGACGTTGGATACGTCGTTATATACGTTGTAATGCCCTTTCTTCCTGCTCCACTCACTATGCGATGAGCCACAATGTTTTATATTCGCTGTTGTCTCAAATTGCGATGCCCCATTGCGATGCAAAAATCAAGTGGGTTTTCATAACCTATGATTCATCTGCTGCTTAACTCTTTCGTTTGATAAAAGCGTTATGTGCTGCGTCTATTCTTTGTCCTCTCACAGAAAATAGGATAAGAAACTAGTTTCCATACTTTTTAGGAGATCCCCAAACTTAGTTCAAGGGATTAAAGGAATGTTTTTATCTCCCCACATGTTTTATAAGGAAAGATGCTTGTTCTTGTTAGACTAGATTCAGTATATCCATATTTAGATAGAAAATAATATCTTTCATTGTAATACTCGTATATATCATAAAATATTTTCACTGTATTAATTCCTTAAATATATTTTAATTTTCCATTCAGTGAGTACTCAAGTAAAAAAAAAGAGTTTGTTACCACTCAACAACTCTTCGTCAGAGTTTACTCTCTTTGAAATTAAATGACAGTTTTATTTCATGGACTTAACAATTTTTAAAAGCAACTATCAACGTGAGAGGAATTTATCAAGGAGACATTTGTTTTAATAACTCGAAGAACTTCAAACTTTTATCAGTAATTTTTAATACATTTCATGAATAATTGCATATCAAAAGAAATCAAATTTCAATTATAAATTAATAGTTTAATTAATAGTTTATAGGTTAGAAGGCTTCAGAAAAAAAATAAACTTTAAATATTTTCAAATGAAAAGGATAATAACCTGTTGCACTATATCTTGACTAGTACTCGTGATTGGGGCTTTCAGTATCGCATATGGTTGATCCGGAGCCACATTGTAAATGCAGACTAGAAAGGCTTCTTCTCCATCTGTCCAGCCACACAGTCCTCCGCCCATATCTTTTGATCTCTGTGAACAGGTGAAGTGTTAATGACAGGCATATTCTTAGACTCGAATAAAGTAGTTAATAAAAAGAATTTGCATCAACCTTTTCTTTGTTGATCGTGCCCCTAATAGTAGTTATCCAAGCTCGAGTACTGGGATCCTGCAAATAAATACAAATAAATCTTGTCGTAAATACATAAATAATAAACAGATAAATTTTACAGTACATATATAAATGACCCTTCAGCTGTATTTATATGAATGTTGTTGAACATTATATAACATTACGTAAATGTTGTATACAGATACATTTCGCGTGAGAAATAATGGCCGCGTAATTAGGCGTGGGTGTTATGAATGATAAGAAAAGGAAGGTAGCCTGTTTAATAAATCAAATTATTCACTTGTGCAGTAATTTAAACTCTTTAAGGGAATCTTATAAGTGCAACTTCTGCCAACAGTTAGATCGGCGTAAATTATTGTCACCGGGTTTCAGAGGCAGTCCTGCTTTCAAAAATACACAACGTTATAGCATTTGTTTGTTACAGCATTTCTATAGACTTGTTACAGCATTTGATTGTTACAGCATTACGCTTGTTACAGCATTTCTATAGACTTTTGTTGTAATATGTTACTCAAGTGGCGCACCTTATTCATCAAACAAACTTTTAATAAATTAAATTTCTTTACAAAAGTAGAGAAGTTAGTTTGTTATGCAATTTATAATGACTGTCCGCATATTTATTTTTACAGACATGTATTTTAAACATACATGTATATTTTCAGTTTTTATGATAATTGATCTTGCTGCAGAATATGCTTACTTTTTAAATTAAGAAATCTGAACATTTATGCAAATACTTATTTCTAAACTTTTAAGAATGTAAAAATATATTTTAAATGAATATTACATACTTAGTAATCATCCAGAATTGCACTTTCCAGTATTATATTGTTATCGACTTCTTGCTATTTTTACTGCACGCATTAAACAGAGATTTAAAATTAATATTCGTATTAATTTTAAATTTATATAAGTGTAAAATATGAAAAACATTTTTTGCAGATTTATTCTAGGTTATTGTTATTTTAAAAAGTTATTTTAAAAAGATTAAAACTGTTTTGCGCTGTTTTTAAAACATTGCACTGTTTTTAGAGATAACATATGAGTTAGATATTTTTGCTTTTTAACTTGCTATGAAAGGTTTGATTTAAGTTGACAAGTAAATGTAACTTTAATAAATATATGTGATTTTCATGCATTAAGAAATTGAATACATACATCAGCTAATTTTTTTAGAACAAATCGGCCATCTCCTTGCCATTGGGCTTGAGCTTCCAGAGGTCTTTCATTGATATCAAGGAACCTACGATGAAGATTCTTCTCAGAAGCCTTCTTGTCCCATCCTTGTTGAACTTCTTCTATTAATACATAGTCATCCACTGAATCGAAATTATTGCTTTTGCTTAAAGCCTTTATGACGTAAAAAAAAAGTAAAGCATGAAAAAATCATTAGTCTGAACACTCAATTAAAATTCGGTAGTTACATGTAATACATTTTATCAAAGGAAAAAAAAAATAGATCAGAACTAGACAAATCATCCTGTTGTTGTGTCTGATCCCACATGTCTGATTTAATCAGAACAAATCCACGAATTTTATCATGACAAGTAGTAGATTATTAAGTCTGTCGTTTGCAAGATCCTTGAGCACCATACAGGTTCGGATCACCGTATATTTTGAGTGCCCCCATGCCGCACAGACACATTTACAAATATCCACGTCTTCGCCGGAATTCGACCCTGGCCTTTCAGTGCGGCAGTCAGCATCACTAATCACTTTATCATCAGGGCAGCATAAATCGTCCTTTCTACTGTGATTCACTATAATATTTCGTTATTTCTTTTCATAGTACAAGTTCCTTTACAAAGATGAAACACATTTTTATCGTTGCCTCCAATGAAATGAAAAACTCTTTTCTAACATTACTTGAAAATAATCAAAAATTCAAAATTGATTGCATTTTCCTTCCGTCGATGCTTAAAATTCCCAGCTATACGTTTCTCATGCAAAGATGAAATACCGCTGTTTTCTTATGGTAGCGAATGCCATTTTATATTGTTATGATTCAGCTTTTTTCCCCCGCATATCAACAAAATGATCAAGTTATCCGGTTTATTCGATGTAATAAAGAGTCAGTTTAGTGTTCTAAGAACTGAATTACATCCAACAGAATATAATTCACTTCATACATCGTTCGGTTCCGAAGCCAAATATGAGAAAATGTTAATATATTACGACATTAATTTTATAATTTTATTCAAGTTTCTCAGCAAGAAAATTTTCCAGTAATGCTATTAGTATTTTATGATGCTCCTGGCGGCAAAACGGAATCGTATCTAATAATTTTTGATCGTTACTATGGATCCTCCTATCTGATGGCCCTAATGCAGGTGCCGGAGTTTTATCCGAAATTTTCTTTTTCTACATCCCTAAGGGCCGAGATACTGCGTTTACCGGTAAAATTTCTTCGATTCGCACAGCTCTGTACCAGCTGCCATGCCACTTGGAAAAATTCACAAGAGCTGTTATCCTCAGTGATTCCAGAGCTGCTCTGTTGGCTATCGGTTCAGATAAAAATACCATATAACTTGATATATTGGATTGTCTAAAAAAACCTGGCATCACTTGTGAAAACTATAGTCCTCCAGTGGGTTCCTGCCCACTATGGGGTTCCAGGTAACGAGAAAGCCGACTTCCTATCAAAAAAGGGTGCTTTAATCGTGCAGAATATTTTTCGTCCTATGCCTTTCCATACTGTTAGGGATGTTATTAAAAGTTCCTTCAAAATACGTACCAGGAAGATCTCTATCATCGTGTTTCTCATAAGTCTTGGAAGAACGCTATCTCGAATTTGTGTAATGGGCCAAGGCGTAGAGCGGTCCCTGTATTCCGCCTTGCCACCGGACATGACTGCCTGCGATATCATCTCCATAGATTCAAAATTGTTCCTGCTCCGATATGCATTCTCTGCAGCTCTGGAGAGGTGATGAACTGGCGTGAGAGTAACTGGGAGGCAAGAGATATGTTAGATTAATGGACTCTGTTATAGCTTTTTTATACTGTGTTGCTGTATCCTGTGTTCTTTGTTCTTGTTTTTTGCTGTAACTGTTCATAATCTGCCATAAACTGACTTATTATTATGCGTTGAAAATTTCACTCTTACCTGACAATACTTTAATCGCATCTTGGATGGACGTATTCTGCAAATACAATATCGCTTGATGTTGGTTCGCATCTTCTTGAGGGTTTTTCTTTAGGAAGTCATGAATTACATTCCGAATATAATCGATAGGGTCCCGAAGATTCCTCTGAAAACCTAGGGCATTTACAGAATCTACTTGCTCATAAGTTCCTTGTTCTATAAACCTGTTAAAACTTGATTCATTTCAGTGAGAGTATAATTAATATCACAGTCCGAAATATAATTTTCATAATCACTAGCCAGATTCCCGTTTGACGTCATGTCGAAAAATACACTGCTCGAAAATAAACTCCAAAGCCCAACACAATTCGAAATATTAGCCATAACGAACAAACTCTTGGTCGGAGAGCTTACACACACGTCTTTCATCGCCCGTGTCTGCAAGTCGAATTAAAATTAAATGTATGGTATACTCTTTAAAATATACGAAAACGGAGTAATTCTATTGAATGTTTAAATCGGGAAGCAGATAATCAGAAAGTACTCAGAATGGAGGGAAGATGTAAAATATTAATAATTAGCATAAGTTTTCAAAATATCACTAATGAAATCCTTGCTCGTGGTAATTACTTACGAAAAGTTATTCCGTTTTCTTTTTAAAAGTGGTGGGTGCGACTATGAGCAACGCAAGACTTCATGGAGGAAACTATCAAAATTTAAAAATAAAACCAAATTTCATTATTTCATGCGCGATAAATAATTTAATATGAGGTTTCCTAAATGTAGCACAACGCACGGATTAAACACATATCAAAGTATTTTTACCATTATCATGGCTGATGCTACAAAATGTTTTTGGAATAAAAAATATAGGCTTCGGAAAATTAACTTGTTTCATCTATTAGTATTACTGTATAGTCTATAGTTGGTTTATAAAAATATATTTGTTGTTTGCAAGTGAGATGTTTTATTTAAGATCCAGACCCAGGGCCGCCGCCAGAGCCTTTGCAGCCGTCCCGGGCGCCGAATTTTTGACATTTTGATAAGCATGGAGGAGCAAAATTTAGGAAGGACAAAATTTTTAGAATTTAAGAAAGGTTTTGAGCCACAGAATTCGGAGCACCAAAGATTTTTAGAATTTATAGAGGGACCAAACAGAAGAATTTAGAACCCGCACAGATTCCACTGGGAGGCAAAATATCCAGAGCCGCACTGCCCAGACCTATTTTTAAATGTAAGTGGTACTTTAGAGCAAGAGTTCCCAATCCTATGCCTGTGGGCACCCTGACGCCCGCAGATCGTTTAACGTGTGTCTGCCGCTGTGCGATCATAATAAAAATGTTTTAGTTTTTAATAAAATTATATGTAAAAGTTTTCTCATTTTTAATAAGATCAAAATTGCTTCTTTATGTGCATGGATCAACAACTCTATCCAACTATAAATTCACCTTGAAAGAGTAAATAGTTTCCGCCGTCCAACGGATATTCTAGAATGTGCTCTTAGGAACAAAAAGGTTGGGAACTCTGCCCTAGAGCAATTTATCAGTCTTGCTCTAGAACAAGTTGACTTGTAAGCGATCATTGAGGACTATATTAGGTGTTAGGGTATTTAGGGCTCCTCAGTTTTGTACAGATTTTATATTGAGTATCAGCAAACATTAATAATTATGTTACATTTGACTTCTCTTTCATTTCTTCTTGTGGAAGGGTGTTTGATACACCTGAGTGCCTAGGCCTTACCCCAAGTCGAACATGGTTGAAAGTTTCAAAATATTTTAGAAAGTAACTTATTTGAGATATAGTTATTTTTTTAATTTAAATTTTAAAGGGATTCACGCATTATAAATTCAAGCCTCAAAGCTGTCTAACTGAATCTATGTTATCAAGGTAATTTTGAATCAATAGGTCTCAAGTAATGAACAAATACATACAATACACACAAGATATAAATATACATAAATAAATACAAAAGAATACCGAATAACATGACAAAGTAAATATAAAAAATCAGACTTCTATGATTACATTTGGATTGAGAATGGACATTGGCATTGGCCCTTTTTTATTAGTATTCAATTTTAAATTCTGATTTCAGAGTTACTTATTGTACGTAAACGAATGTGAAACTGTCTAGCCAGGTGGTAATAAAAACTTCTCAGTGGAATTATGTCTAATTTCGCATGAAGTGCATTGCTTCTAATACAGTATGGTGCGTTTCGAATTTGCCGCAGAACAACATTCTGGGCCGTTTGCAGTTTTTTTAAGTAGAGTTTTGCATGAATACGCCCAGACTATACCAGCGTAACAGAGCATGGGCAAGGCTAACTAAGTATCTAGTTGAGATACATGCCAAGGCCAACTAAATACCTAGTTGGTCTTGGCATGGGACGCAGATGGATTTATAAATAACTTATTATCTAGAGATAGAACTCTTTTCAGACAATTAGG